CAAATTGGAAATTGGCAGCACCTACATAATGGTGGTTTGTGAACTTAGTAAACATCTGTGGTTTGTATATTTACTAACACTTTGGTATAATTGCCAATTCCAATTCTTTGCTATAATGGCAATTTCTGATCTAAAAAAGGGGCAATTTGTATGGGGGCTACTGGTTCCCCTGCCCCTATCAAAAAATTAAGTACCCCATGTTACCACAAATGTACTCAAAAATCGACTGTGAAAATTTCATGTAAATCCGTTTAGTAGGAGTCTATAGCTAACACTGATCAAACAAACAAACTAACAAACAAATAAACAAACAGAAATTGATTTTTATATATATAGATTATACGCGAAGCAATCCGGCGTATTTAAAAAGTCCGACAATAGCATATTTTTAAGTTTCACAATTTTAGTCGATATTTCAGCACTCGTTGGTGGTGATACATTTATTTTACGTGAGGATATATTTTGTAGTACTGGCTATGCTTATTTTTATTTATTTTTAATAAAATTATACTATCTTTTGAAAAACAAATAATAGTTTTTTGTTTTCTTTATAAACAAACTAAAATTGTAAATATAAATAAAACTCTATATAGACATAATTTTATTTATAAATAAAAATATATGTATGTACATGCATATGTTACAAATAAACAAGGATTACTAACATTTATTTACAAAGAGAAATAAATATATAAAACAATGTATGTATATAAAATGTTTTTTTGCATATGGAAGAATAAGTCCTGATTTATATTAGGCGAGTTTACTTGCGGCAATTTTTATCGTTCTCTTTTGAACTTGCTTCATGCGTCTATACAAGGCAATTCTGTTTCCAAAATATTTTTTTATTTGTTGTTTTTTTCACATTTAAATATACATATATAAAATGTCAACAAATACGAAATACACAAAACGAATTGCCAGAAAATTGTCGGTACGAGCAATTTTTTTCCTTTCTATTCCCCTTGCCCCTCTCTCCTACAAACAAAGACTTGCCGCAAATAAACTCGTCTAATCTAAATTGGGACTAAGGGAAGGATATTAAAATTATTAAATGTGCCTCAGGCTTAAAAGTAACACAATTTTACAATACATAACAATGGACGACAACAAATAAAAAAGAAAAAAAAAACAAAATGTGAATAAGAAAACAAACAAGCAAAAAAGTAATAATAATACAATTATTCTTATATAAATATTTACTATAAATATATTCTTATATATTTATATTTAGGAAAATCCTTACATACACCCGGCAAATATTGCCAACAAATAAATATACATACATATAAAAGATAAAATTAATTATTAGCTCTTTATATACATGCATACGTATAAGTAAAAAAAATACTTTTTTTATGTATAACATATACATAACTGAATATATACAATTTTTTTCATTGAATCATTTTATGTTGTTTGCTTTAAATGAAATATTAATGATTATTATATTGAAATTTTGAAAAATAATAATAATAACAAATTTAATGGGACCCTAAGTATTTGTTTGATTTTCAATTTCAAATTCATTTATACTTTTAGTCCTTTTGTTAATTAAAAAAATAAATAAATAAAATAAAAAATCAAAAAAAAATTATAGTTAAAAAGCTTTAATAAACTTTTGTACTGGAATTTGTGTAAGTAAAATACTGACAGCATATTAAAATTGTTTTTGTTTTATTATTAAATTTAAGTAGTTATTCGAATAATACCTTTATTCTCACAATTAAAAGCCAGTAAGGAAAGTTCAAAATTCGGACGGGAACGACTATATGATACCCTTCACCACTTTGGGTACATACAAGAGATGCGCTAATATATACAATATCCTGTCCACAATTTTATTACGGGTATATGGAACCATTTACATAAAATCAGACGAAAAAATATATGGGAGATATATGTCTAAATCTGAACCGATTTCAACAAAACTTCAAAGACATCAAACTTAGACTTGATAAAATTATATAGGGTGTACCATTAACATAAAATCGAACGAAACTATATATGGGAGCTATATATAAATGTGAACCAATTTCCTCAGAACTTCGCATACATTAATCAAGACCTATTTCAGAACGCTGTGCAAAATTGTTCTCTCAATCGGACAAATATTGGGAGTTTGGTGCACCATTCGCATGAAATCGGATGAAAATATATATGAGAGAGCTAGACATCAAACTGGGATTTTTGGTGCACCATTTACATAAAATCCGACCAATCTTGGCCCAATCGGACAATTTTTGGGAGTCTGGTGCACAATTTACATAAAATCAAACGAAACTATATATGGGAGCTATATCTAAATCTGAACCGATTTTCTCCAATTTCAATAGAATTCGTTCTTAGGCCCAATAAGTGACCTGTACTAAATTTTTTTCAAATCGGATCATAAATGTGACCTGCACTTTGCTCACAAAAATACATGGACGGACAGACGGTCATTCATAAATCAGAATGTGATCCTATGCATATTCTTAAAAGTAACTATGGGTCTATCTATGCATATTAAAAGTAACCATGGATCTATCTCCATTCCTTTTGCCTGTTACAAACATATGTACAAACATATGTGTGTGCTGAAAGATATAAAAATGAATAAACATATCGGGATATATCCATCGGTTTATTTCACTGTGAGTCAAATTTCCTCCCTATTTGAATATCTGTATGCATAACATCGGACTTCGTAATCTCTGAAGGTAGTACTTATTTAAGCCGTGGTATAGCCAATTAGCAAGCAAAATCGGAAAAACTGGCTAGAATTATCGGTACGGTATCGAGTTTTCACTCGGAGTCAGTTTGCCCATTGTGTTCTATGGTGACAATGGTTAAGTCACACTTGAACCCAGGACGTTTATCTCATTTATCGGTGCCACAAAGACAGATCCGAAGAGGTGGGTGAGTTATTTTAACCGGCAAATTGAGGAACAAAGTGAAGGAGACATGACGAAATGAAGAGTCAAGAGTTGCTGATCATTAGAGCGAATTCAGCTATCAAGTTCGACAAATTTTATCTTTAGTCATATGTGCCTACGCCAGTCGTGTGTGGAATTCAGAAGTCTGAAGTTCTCGACGGTAAGGTAATACATCCGGAATTATTTAGCCATCAGAGATCGTAATGTATACGAATGAATGTACTCTCGTGACGTTAAGTTCCATTATAGATGACATATGCAAATATCCGCCACGATGTCAACGTCAAAATCTGTGTATCAACACTGTTTAACGCCCAGCATAACACCTATCTGTTTGCACTCCTATGTTTCGCAAAATGTTGACTATTATTCGTGTAATCCTTCTTAACTTTTCTTTAATGAGACCGAACTATCTATCGATTGGCACAGAAATTCGATTAACTACTTCTTAAAAAACTTGCTGACGAATGGTGGTCCTCAATTAAAAGTCGAGCATAAAATGTTACCTGGTTTTTACTTCAATGCTGAAACTGAACAGCAGTTCTACGGCCACTTCATCGTGCATCCATCTTCACAGAACAGAATCAAGCGAGCAGAGATATTTCAGGAGATACAATAATATGAAACGATACTTACAGCTCATTATCATTTACATTCCTTGAAGTATAGGCAATTATATCCAAAGCTAAACTATACAAAGTCCTTGGACTTGAGTTTCTGAACAAAATTAGGGAATTTTTAAAATTGATGCTTCCAGATATTTGGAAAGTGCCAGCATAATACCAATTAAAAAACTGATAAGTCCGTTAGGTTAGGGTGAAAAGAGGGGTGGATGATACCACCACATGTCCAACATGAGAAAGGCATACACATAAGCCAGTTGAGGCCTAACCTCCTTCATTCCAAATTGTAAATATCTTAGAATTATATTTCAATCAGAAGGTGAAAACTATGCATCGATTATCGATCCTTATTAATGCAGCCTCATTCTGAACTTCAAACATTTAATTATAACGGATTGTGTCCAGATGACGATCGTCGATCAAATCCATGAGAATACTAGTGCACTGTCATGTTGACTTGACAGTTCTCGCTGGTATACTATCTGCCGTGTAATCCCAATAATAAAACTGCGATGACTGTTCCACGTCCATTATATATTCGTCTAATGGATGATAATGGATCTCCTATAGTGAACTCCATAAAAGTTGTGCATCATTCAGCCAGTGATGGATGTCATAAAGGACTATGTATTCAATAAAATCCTTCCTTCTGCAAATTTGAACAGTAAGACTTGTTTTTATGCAAACTCGTTCCATTATTACATCTACATCGGTGGCCATTGTTCCCGGAATCCAGAATTGAATCCTATCTGCCAGCAAAGCCCTCAAAACACACATCACCGTACGAGCCAACAAATCTTCTCATTTTTCAGCTAACCTCCCTATACCTAATCGTAAAACATTTACTTTTGATCAATACGAAGTCTGCTCGCCAGTAAAGAATGTAGCGTAATGCCAGTGAGTACTTCACAGCTAGCTGACATTAGATATTGAATTCCACTGCGACATTGTCTAGTGCGCTTCCATCCCACTTCCTTAACGACCGCAACATTTTGATAAAATAAAAATGCATTTTTTATTTTATTTTATTTTTTTTTTTTGATTTTATAAATCGGTTTTGTTGTAAAATCGACATAGCAATATTATTAAATACTGTATCATCTGAAGAAATCTGTATTGTATTGTTTTGTATGGGTTGGTTGGTTTAAATCTCTACATCAAAATTCCGATTAAATTTTATTTTAGAAAAATATGTACGTCTGTGTGTGAATATATAAGTATGCGCACAAGTGCATGTAGTAGTAAAATGATTAGTTAAAAAATATATAAAATTAGCATAAATTCTATTGGATTTCTTATCCCTCTCACCCTGTCGTTGGTGAAATGCATATTAAGCTTAACGAATATTATTAACATAAAAAATAATAAGAATATAATATATTAAAAAAAAACAAGAAATAAAATTCTAACAACGCATGCGCATGTTGCTAGACTGAGAGCTAACCCATTAACACTAATTTTAATTATTTAACTCGTACAATATATGGGATATAGTACCACTAGATTCAACATTACTAAGGGCTATATTTGCCAAATGAGGTTCATAACGGCGAATGCTCCGCTTGGCCGTTGTGGTATAAATTACCAAATTTCGTAGAATAAGGGCAGCAGTTAAGCGAATGCTTTTCGTAACGGGTCCTTCGTTTTCATCCATCAACTCTTTGCTATTCATAAAATCGGCTGTATGACGTTTAATGGCCTGTAGGGCCGATGAGCCGGTTACAGCAGCGCCAGCAGCATGCGACGAAGAAGACGAGGAAGATGGTGACGAGGTATTTGTACGCTGTGATAATTCAATATTACGCACAATAGTAACAGGAGGCTTTGAGGGTGCAATATTATGGGCACCAGTTGCTATTCTACGCTGAACTGCTGCCCTAAGACTTTCCACGGTTAAATGACGATCAATTAGATGGGTCATAAGGGAAAAACGTTTTCGCGGTATCCCATCACATAGACCGGGACCAATACCCCATTGACAAAATATTTCAGCCGAGGCATCCAAATGATCGGGTGCATGTTGGGTACAAACATGGTGTTGTAAATCACTGAGAGATTTGAATTTTTTACGTGGACAATTACGCCAATCGCAAATAAAAAGCCATTGAGCATCGGCCGCTGTTAGTTGCGGTACAACGGATGTTTGGGGTGCAACTGTGGCCTGTGGTGTTGATGCTGGTACTTGAGGAGGTGTTGTTGATACGGCGGGCATACTTGTATTGCTGCTGGTGGACGAAACCGTTGTTGGGGCGTTAGTAGCATTCGAAGTAGTAGAAGTATTTGGAGTTTGACCACCACCACCAGCGGAAGAAGTGGAGGACGCCGCAGGTGTTATAAAACTTGTTGTGCCCACTGCCGCTTTTGCCATGCTATCTTCTTTTTTATTGCTATCCTTTTCCAGTAGCGATGTTGTTGGATTTGAAACATTTGTAAATGGTATAGCAGTAGTTGGAGCTGCGCTATTGTTACTACTGCTATTTACAGCTGCTAAGGGTGGTGGCCCACTGCCTAGGTTTGGTGGTAATTTCACAGTCGGTAGTGAAGGCTTAATGAGTGTTGGTGGCGGTGGTGTGGAGGCTAATATGGACTTTTTAATTGATTGATTTTGATTTGTAACAATTGCTGGTGCTTGATTTGCAATTAATGATGGTGGTGGTGGAGCAGCAGATTCGGTAGGCTGTAAAAATATTGTAACAAAAATTTAATATTAAAATAAGGTGATTATAAGTTAAGTTTTTTTTAAAGGCAGAAGAAAATGCTGAAATGATAATGTAAACACCAACAAAGCTAAAGAAAAAGCTTAAGAATAAAAAATATATTTTGTTTGGAAATTATGGGGGAGGACTATTTTACAACAAAATCAGACTAAGGAAATACTTTGCTCCAAAGAACTGTGTTTATGTTTTGTTTAATTTCGCTCTCTCCAAAATTAAAACGGTATTCTAATTGGGACAATGATTTCCATGTCTAGGTCCGTAGTAATCAAATAAAAGGAATCTCTATTAGCAGGATAAACATTTTTACAACAACAACCAGGAACATAAAATGTACGGGATATACTACATTAAATTTAAAGAAAAAGCCCAAAATCAGAAAGCAAAAATAAAATTGAATTGAAAGACTCCTCTATAAATTAAAAGCAAAGTAAAAAGCCAAGAAAGAGCAAATGATAGAAAATCGAAAATGATATTTTATTATATTTATCTCTGGAAATGCTGCTGCTGGCAAATCACAGACCTTTGCTGCCAACAACTCTGGAGCTTTAGATGTTAATACAGCTGAAGCAGTCACAACATTTGATAAAATTGATGGATTAATATGAGAGGAGGACTGGTGGTGTTGCTGCTGTTTAAATTGTAAATGCTGTTGTTGTTGCTGTGAATGGTGCTGTTGTTGATGCTGCTGCTGTTGTTGTTGCAGTTGCGATTGTGGCATAACAGAAAATGAAGAAATTTTTTGTTGTATTATAGAAGGATGTTGTTGCTGTTGTTCTATGACAGCACGTATTTGTTTCTGTACCTGTTGTTGTTGCTGTTGTGGATGCTGCGTTGTTATTATGGTTTGAGGATTTAGCTGACACTGTTGCGGTGGTGGTTGAGTTTGTGTTATTACCGTTTCTTTAATTTCAATTGCTCGGCCAGCTCCCAGGATTACATGACGTTTCTCCGTTGAGGGTCCTGATATTATATGTTGCTGTATAATCGATTGATGTTGTTGTAATTGGGGTATAGCAACAGGTGTGGGTGGTGTTGATGCCTGTTGAACAATTGATACACCCTTGTTCAGGGTGTTAATTCGTGAGATACCGCCCGGGCCGCTTGAGGAGCCAACATTGCTTGCTGTTTGAGGTATTGGTTGATGAAGTTTTATTGTAGCTGGGATTTGATTTAATTGATTCAACAAAGACGGTGACATTTGGCCGGCCTGTATTTGAGTGCTGCCTTGTTGTGGTGCTTGAGTTGAAATTGTTGGCGCCACAGAGGGCGGTGTAGCTGTCTGTATAATCTGCCTAGGTTGTATGTGTGTGGCCGCTCCCGTTTGAGGATTAATAAATATCTGTTGTGGTGTTTGAGGTCTTTGCGTTACAAGCACCTGTTGACCCTGTGGTGTGGTCATAATCATTTTCTGCTGTTGTCCCTGGGTAGTGGTGGTAATTATCTGCTGTTGTGCTACCGGCGGTCCCGCTATTGTATTCTGTTGCAATATTATTATCGTTTTGGCTCCGGTTGACTGTTGCTGGGGTGTTTGCGTTACCAGCACGGTTTGTGTTGGCTGTGGCTGGGGTGGTGGCTGTGGTGCTTGCTGGGCCACTAAATATGTTTGTCCCTGTTGATTGGTGGCCAGTACATATTGTGTGGGAGCTTGATTGGTTGTGGGCTGCATAACCTGTTGTATTATTTGTTGCGGTTGACTATTATCGACCATCGGTTTCTGATGCACAATTACCGGTACAGTTTGCAAGCCTTGATCGGTCTTAATTGTTGCCATTGCATTTGGCATTTGATGCATAGTTGGTTGGGTGACTGTGGCAGGTGTTTGATTAATTTTTATTTGCGGCTGCTGACTTGTTTGAAAGACTAATTGACGCGGCATTGCACCAGTCGTAGTTGTCTGCTGTACAATCAATGACGGCTGCGTCAAGGATGGCGCTGGGTCCTTTGGTGGCGGTGCTGCTGTCTGTGTTGCAGCCAGTTCTTCTAGATCTTCGTCCTCTAGAATAGATGCCGCCATTTCAGCATATAAATTAGCTGCGTTTTTGGAAGGTGTCACCGGGGTCTCTTCCTTGGAAACCGATAGATTGCCACTGCTTGGATCTCCGGCCATACGTTTGTTTTGTTGTCCTTGCTCTTCCAACTTACGTTTTTGTATTAAGCCCGCTGAAGGTAGAGGAGGATCGATCATTTTCTTATCCAAGATGTCCACAAGCATTTGATTAGCCAACAATATTGGTCGGCCGGAGGCATCTTTTGCCACGTTAGCACCACTCAGTGGAGCCAAAGGTGGTGGTGTAGACTCAGATATGTGTTTTTTCTCCAATGCCAATTGCGGGTTAAGCGGTTTTATTGTTGTCTGTCCCACTTTAACCGGTGTATTTTGCATTAGAGGATTATTAACTAATGCTGTGATAGCAGTACTGGGTACTTTTATGGGTTCAGTTGTAATAGCTGGGACAGTTGGCTGCGTTAATGGACTACTATTGGTGGTGGTAATAATATTTGATGTTGTTGTATTAGGATTACTTGTGGTGGCAGTTACCGAATCCTTTTGTTTTTGTTGTCTCTGATTGACTTTGTTGGCAAGCAAACTTTTGATAAGTGACGTTTGCGATGATTGAGATTGCGTTTGTGTTGAGGGGGTTGTTGCTTGTGGACTTTTTACAAAGGCTGGGCTGCCATCAACCTGGGACTGGGTCGCCCCACTTGAGGCCTCTTCCATTTTTGTATTTGCTTCCGATTCTTCTATATCCATTTTCTCCTCACACTTTATGTCAATAGATTGTGTATTTGTGCCATCGCTATTTGTTGAGGTTGTTTCTGTCGCATCTGTCGATGCTGTGGAACCGGGACCAACTGTCGCTGCAGATGTTGTGACTGGTTTGACATTTTCTACTCCAACCGATGTTGTTGTTGATGTGGTATTCAATGTAGTGGCTTCCACACCAACACCACTAGTTGTAGTTTCCACTTTTATTTTCTTTTTGACTTTTCGGGCTGGAGAAGAGTTGTCCATTTGTTTACCAGCAGGTGAATTCGGTCCACTAGCAATGAAATTGGATTTTTGTTGCAATGGTAAAGGTTGTGCCCTTAATCTAATCGAAACATAATATTGCCCAGGTAAATCTGTGCCGTCTGTTTTGCGTACCATTGCGGGACCCACTGCATTGGTGAATATCAGTTTAACCAGCCGAGGGAACTGCATGTGATTGACAACCGAATGCTTACCAGCCTTTTGACAGTGCGATAAATACATACGGTACAGTTCCTGTTGTTCAATGTGGCTATCATTGCTGGGAGTGCGTTCAAATGTTGCACCCAACCATGCTAAGGCATATTGTTCATCATCATGGGTAAAGTTTTGTGGTGACATTTGTGATGTAGGCGCCGGGGTAATGTGAGGATGTGGTTGTTGTTGTTGTGCTTGCGGATGATGATGTTTCTCAACTGGAGCCACAGCTATGCCCGCAGAGTGATGGAATGGAGGGATACCATCCGCATTCATATCACCAATCATTACTGAAGGTGGTGGCGGTTGGTTACTTATTATTTGGGGTTTATGCATAACCGGATGAGGATTATTTGACTTTTGTATAACAACGGCATTTTGTAGATTGGCAATATTTTGTGCCACCATTGGTAGCATGTTACCCGGAACAGTTTCAACCACACGCATAAGTATACATCCGTCTGTACCATACGACTGTGCCTCAACGGAAATCAAGGAAATTAATTGATCAACAATGCCACGTATTTGCATCATGGAATTACAGCTTTTCGGTCCCAAGCAGGTTAATGCATATATAGCTTCTAGGGTGAATATCAAAAGCATTATATCGTTGAGCGATAAGAACTGTGTTATTGTATTATAAAATTTGGCATTCAAACATTTCAATACGTAATCTTCGTTGGCCTCTCGTTGGCAAAGTTTATAAAGAATTTCTAGACAATTTATAATGACACCTCTGTCCGGGCCATCGATACCATCGCATATGGTGGCCATAAGGCAGCGACTAAGATCATCCACTGTGGGATCTGCCAGATCCAATTCCATTGCAATGTTGCCAGTTATTTCTAATGCCTGTATGTGTACATTGCTCCACCGAATGTTGGAACTCATGACCAAAAACCGCAGTAGTGTCTTGTTCTTAACAAGCACCTGTAAATTTTCAGGGAAAAAGCTGAGATTACGTAAAATGGTTACAACTTGTAGTACACGTTGCCCCACATAGTCATAAGTTCCCAAGCCACGTCGTAAATTTAAGAAATATAAATCCTTACAATCGTTCCACAAGCCATCTTCGTCTACATCTTGTTTGCCATTATCGAAGTCATCGATAATTCCCGAATCTCTTAGTGTATGTTCATCTGTGTACAAATCTAATATTTGCGGCTGATCGTGCAGTAGATCATACCAAAAACCATATAATGAATGTTTTCGAACACCATTGTAGACATGTTGAAATAGTTTCCGCATAGTATAATCGGAATACACGCCAGTATGGGCTAAAAGAGCATCCACTAGTTTTGGATATTCGTTTACTTTCAATGTGTGTTTGCTTTCGTTTGCCATTAATGTGCAAGCATTTATTGCGAAATCTTGTTCATTGGGCAAAGGCGACAGCAGCGATAACAGCAACTTTTCATATGGTGATGATTTGTGCAAATCCGTGGAAAGTTTAAATTGACGTCTGCGATCCATGTTGACATGATGTTGTTTGTAATTATAGGTCATGGCAACATTATTGGCAGGATTGGCGCCAGTTCCACCATATACACTGGAAGGATAGCGAGAAGAGCCCTTGCTTCCACCTCTACCTCCCATGAATTCAGCCATTTCTGCCGCTTCCATGGCATCGATTTTTTCCGGATCTTCACCGAAATAATTGACACGTTCATATTTTTCTAAATATCGTCGATAGATGAATTTTAAGCCGGCAGAACCGTTAACAATCTTCTCTTTCCATCCCAGTTCCTGTAGAACTTCATCCCATTGATCCCTGGAATTGACTTTTAAAAATCCACCACGTTCGGTTACTTCACAGTACAGGCGATGAAGATCTACTTCGCGGCCTGTTATTCTTGGTATGTTCCTTATTATTGTTCTATAAATACAAGTGGAAAATGTAAAAAGGTATTAAACGTGGTGTACATTGAATGAAAATAAGACAATAAAATTATTTAATAATGAAATAATGTTGTTTTTTTTTTAATTTTAATTATATATGGGCGCCAATTTAAATATAATTTTTCCTTTTTCACAAATAAACAAAATCCTTATGCCGGTTAGACCTCATACACAAACACACGAACACACACACAAACACTATGCCCACATCAACACACCAATTGAATGTCTGTGGCTTACCCTCTTTTCTCATGAAATAGCTGCAAATCTCTATAAAATTCGTCCGGTGGCTTTGGCGGGTTTTTTCCTTTACTTGTCGTAGCTGAGCCATATTCCGACTTATCCTCCGACTGTTTGTCTCCGCGATTTCGTGACCTTAATGGTGTTCCAGTGTTTGGAGCAGATGTCGTCGACGACGAGAATACATTTGTTGTAGCATTTGCATTGTTTGTTATATTAGCAGCACCGGTATTTGTTGTATTTTCACTTTGTGGCAAAGCGCTTGCCTTTGCCGTCTCGGTTATCAACATTATGCGTTACTTTTTTCCTATTGTATTTAATTGCAATTTAATAATTTTTTCATTTTATTTTTCCGGAAAAAACCAACAACACAGTAACGCGTAAATTTATGGCATATGCCCGCCGTCACGACGATAAATGATTGACTCTGTTGCCAACCATAGTTGTGACACATTGATTACGTGTTGGCAACGCGATAAAATGCTTAAGCATTCTGGCGGCATGCCAGATTGTTTGATAACATGTTTACACAAGGCTTGCTTTAACTTGATATACCAACCAAAAATGGAATTAAATGAAGAATAACGTTTATACATGACTGAATTTTTCATCTATAAATATTTCAACTGAATGAAGTTTCTTCAAAATTGCAGAAATTTTAAAATGTAGAAAAGAAATATCGACAAATGTTCCGTGGATGTTGATTACGTGTTGCAAACGGATTCAAGAAAACATTTGATTTTCGCCAAAATAAACAACAAACAAAGGACGAACACAATTATTTGTATTGCATTTAATATTAAAAATAAAATGAATAATAAAAGAAAAATTGATTTGGTATGTTTTCGAGAACATTTAAGCTTCCTGCATCAATACATTGCACTCTATCTGGAACTTGCTTAAAAATATATAAGGAATTAGTTTTTAATTTAATGAAACTTTGCATTACTTACGAATTTTCCATTTTCTGTAATTTTTATACAACTTAACTTCAAATTGAACATTGAACATTGTGTTTGGTCATAAAACAGCTGATCCAAAAATGGCTGAGTTTGCAAAATCTTACTGCATAAAATTCTTTCAGTAAACTCCAGTAAATTTGTTGTTGTTCAACTGTCAAACTTGCTCTCTCACTTGACTCTCTTTTACTGGATTTTTGGGTAAACAGACAACATTTAGTAACATTTGGTAACAATTGTTACCAAATATCGAGTAAACAGACAGAGCTATCATGGTATAATTATTACAAGGTAGGGCAAAGGTACCAACCGATTACAATTTTTTTCTCAAGGTAGCTTGTTCCATCAAATCAAAATCCATATTTTGTATATGTGTGTGTGTGTGTTGTTTTGAATACTATGTCAAATAAGTTCACAATAAATTGAAATATATTTAAATTTAATTGAAATGAAAATGTTTTTAACGCGTCCGTCTGGAGGTAATTACTTTGTTGTGGATGAAACAAATATTTCATGGATTTCCTACCGGATTTTGGAAAGAAATCATAACATTTCATTCATTTTTCGTGTTTTTAGTTGTGTTGAAAAAATATCAAATAAAGACAACCACTTTTTGCGTATATTTATTTTATATTTTGGCAGAAGAAGCCACCACCTTCACAGTTGATTGTTTTGTTATTCAACTCAAGCTGCCCTGCCTTGCCCTACAATAATACCATACAAAGACATAAAAGTATAAAGATAGGACAATTGAATTTCCAAGTTGGCCGTTATGGTGTTTTTACACGATATGTATTTTAAATATGTGCTGTCACTTTTTTGCATATGGAAATCGAACTCGTCATGTAAAACATACGGAAATTTCAATGTGTCAAAACGATATGCAATTACATATGTATTTTTTCCGAATAGGACGCGCTCTATTTTCGTATGTGAAACATAAGGAAATCAGCTGTTTGAATGAAACACATTGTTGGAAGAAAATATTTCAATTGCAAGTCAAAGAAAAGGATGAAAAGGCAACAATTACAAATTATTATTTCGTTTGTAGGTGTTTAATAAAAAAATGACGTTGATTTAAGAAAAAATAAAAGTGTTTTTTTGTTTATAGGTTATGTCATATGTAAAATACATATGTCTATTTGAACACAAAAATAAATGTTTTGTGTACGCTACTAATTTTGACACACATAAGGAATTACATATGGATGAAATAAGTGACAGCACATATGTAAAATACATATCGTGTAAAAACACCATTAGATGTCTTTTGCTCTGTTGTTACGATATCGTAACATTTTCTGTTAATTAAAAAGAGAACAACATTTTTTAATCTCTGAAATGCAATGGAATAATGACAGAAAAAACCTAGAGAGTTTAAAAACAATTTATATGGCTGGCAACATTCTGCAAATATATATGATGTGTTCCACAATGTACAAGGCGAATTTTTGTCGCTGCTACAGAAATGTATTAAATATACAATAAGAAGAGAGTATGTACATATGATATATAATTATTATTATATATAACCAAAAATAACAGAATTTTAGGATTTTAGTAATTTGAAGACTTTCTCCTACGCTATAGAATCGTTTTAAACGACAACTTATTAAACTTTGTATACACATGTGATGTTGTGTGATTATTGTAAACCCCCGATGCAATGAAAAAGACCGCGAAAAAGAAGGTGGTACAAGTACAGGATATTATGTCTTTTGCATATGTTTGTAACAGGCAAAAGGAAACGAGATGGACACATGGTTCCTTTTGAGAATATGCATACAATCACTATCTGAGTCGATTTATGCATGTACGTCCGTCTGTAGATGTTAAATTGTAAACAAAGTACAGGTCGCATTTATGATCCGATTTGGATTTAATTTGGCACAGCTTACTTATTTGGCCCAAGGACGAACCCTATTGAAATTGAAGAAAATCGGTTCAGATGTATATAGCTCCCGTATACGTTTTAGTCGTATTTTATGTAAATGGTGTACCAAAGTCCCTATATAACTTTCGATTTGCACGAAATTTGGCATAGGGTACTGAATTAGGTCCAAAATGATAGAGTACTGAATTAGGTCCAAAGTGATATGTGCTAAGTTTCGAGAAAATCGCTTCAGATTTAGATATAGCTCCCATATATAGTTTTGTCAGATTTAATGTAAAATGTACACCAAAGTCCCCCATACTCTTGAAGTGTATGGGGGACGTTTCCACGACAGAGGGGTCTACGATCCGAAACGACCCGAGTCTTACTCGGCCAACGTCTGTCACCTCAGCCCATTGTGTAAAAGCAATAGGGCTGCTACAACAACAACATACTCTTGAAGATATAGCCGATTTATTGCGTCAGCATCAAGTGACGGCAAGAGTAATTCTCAAACTTTTTTAACGCATTTTTCTCGAAGCAGTGTTTCGTGAATGGCGGGCACGATAACTCAAATACCAATAATCCAATCGGTTCCAACTTTTGACACGTTTCTCTGGGAGTGTATAGCTATCGTATGAACTAGGATAAAGCCAATCGGCGAAAAACTTTGAAGTGACGGAGGCTATTTTAGGCATAAGTATAAACGATAGATTAAAAACCAGTGAGCGGAGCAGTATAGTCGGACGGGGCCGACCATATGATATCCTGCACAACTTCTACGTAAAATTGACTTCCTGTAGCTCTATATTCTGAGCATGAGCAATATTTGCACCCTCTTGACCAACTAGAGGTCAACAAATATTACAAATATTCAGTACAGCCCTTCTAATTACTTGCCCAGATTCCTTCGCCTTAGGTTGTGCTGTGATGTGAGTCTATAGGCCAGACTTCAAAAACACAACAAATTAAGTTTTCGGTCATCCCAATATTATTATCTGGCCATCACCGAAAATTATCGGCGTTGTCCTTGGCCATAACTGGAACCTCATGGAACATTTCAAAGCGATCACCGCTATATTTCCGACCTCAAGTGTGGTAATGGTTTACTAAATAATATTTGAATACCTAAACACCTGTTAATACCTAAGTACATACGACAATATAATTGGTATCAATTTAAAGGTCAACCACTCTATTCGCTATGGAACGCAAATTTTGTCATTTTTCACATAAAAGCCAGGGTCCATTTGACCCGCCAAATATTGACCGGTCCTTAATAAAACTGGCATGTTTTTTCTTTACGCCGATCCCATTCTCCGTGTAAAAATTCGCAATGTTGGGGTCAGAATTGCGGCCTCTGGAGCGACCAAAAAACCGACAAAAATAAAGTGTTTGGTCCATTAGATCTTCATTGGCCAGAACCCATCCTACATGCAAAATTTCGTGAAGATTGGTCCATAACTGTGGCCTGTATCGTGCTTCCCAATAATAATGGACAGACTGACGGACGGCCACACATGTCTAGATTGGCTCAGCTAGTCGAGATATGACGACCGGTATACTTAACGGTGGGTCTAGGACCAACATTTCGCGGCGTTACAAAATCTTGGGGCTGCACAAAGCTATACCCTGAAAGCATTGTTGTTTTTGTATTCATGGGTCATTATTTGAATCCGCATCATAATTTTGAGGCATTCACATCAGCAGGAAATAAATATATTGCAAAAAAATTAAAAATTTTTAAACAATTTATAAAATTTGGAAAACTTTCTTCAGTTCAAGCATTAGAGCTCAATCAGCCTTAATTAAATCATCACGGAAGTAATCCTTGCAAGCATCGAGACTTTGACCGACATATCATCAGCTTCAAAATGACGGCCAAACGTTTTTGGTGATTCACCGGGTAATGTGTTCAATTTTAACCCAAATCTCTTGACCTTTGCGAGCCGTTTCCAATTATTTGTGATTTGATTGAGCTGACAATGTCAATATCGACAAACTCCTTGCCCGGCACACAAATCGGTGTACCAACTTTCAAATACCATTTTCGACCATTACACCCATGACAATGGGGTCACGACTTTTAAAGATGAACTGGGGCAGGGGAAGACGGCAATTGATTGACATTTTTCAAATAAACCACGCAAAAAGAAAATAATTAAAATAAAAAAAAATATATAATAATTTGCCTAATACAAATTTGACAAAATTCAATATATGGTTAAAAGCCAGCATTTTTCAAAGATGTAAAATTAACATGTGTAATGGAATATGTTTGTGGACATATCTAGATCGTATTTGCAAAAAGTGCATTTTCCATTAAAATGTGTAGCCCTCTATAACAACAAATGTTTATCACAAAAAAGTATTTTGCTTTTTATTATTACTTTAGAAAAAAATATTACATAAAACACGTTTGGTCCTTTTATAGTTACAATTGCGGTTAACCACATACCAAGGTATATTTAATAAGGTAGCCGCATCGGCCCAGCTGTTGGAACAAATAAATGTCAAAAATGTTGTTGTAATGTAGAACCAACAAATTAAAAAACAAAATTATAAATGAAAATCTCTGAATTTTGAAGAGCTTGTTGGTAAATACTTTTTTTAACATGTTCTACAAGAATTTGTGTAAAAAAATCTTATGAATCTGTTTGTTTTTGCAAAATATTTTTGACATATCAAATTACAACAACCGATGTTTGTTGTAGAAATTCGCCGATGCGGCTACCTTATACATCTACCTTGCCACATACTATAAGCGATTTGTCGACGATTCCAATACATCACGGCATTTTTTCGTGGGTATTTTCTCACATTTACATTCAATACATTATCGATCAGTATTTAATTTAATTTTTTCGTCCTAATCTTAAGATAAGAGTATTAAACATAGTCATTGCGGCTTCAAAACATCCCAAATATGTTTAGAATAATAAAAAAGAGGTTTTTTTTTCATACTATCTCAAACTTCACTTTGGTTACCATATTTTTCAAAATAATTAACATTGCTGTTAAGTATTTTTTGGTGAGAGAACTTCAAAAAGTGCATTTTCCATTAAAATGTGTAGCCCTCTATAACACAAATTTGACACTAATATTGGGAAATGCGTTTTGTCCAGTCTTTACGATTGTATGTCTTTGTGTCATCCCTTGAAAATAAAACACCTGATTTCTTTACACAATCAATTTTTGATCTTTAAAACACTAACATCCATCGATGATTTTGTTTTGTTCCCAACTTTTATCATTAATTTTCTCTTATCTCTCCGTTCGGTTCAAAAAAGAAGAAGATTTATTCAGTGTGTGTACGGTGTTAATTTTTCTCCGTAATAAAAAAATAAAAATAAATAAAAAATATATACAACTTAAAATACCTGATTCGAACAATTATTAAATGCTAACGGTGGCGTTCCCAAAAAGCTGTCAAGTTAAATACAATAGCCCAAGAAAATAAAACATTTTCAAGATAAAATTGGACAAGGTCGTTTGATAAAGTTGTCAGCAAAATGGATACATCCGTACAAGGGGTAGAGTAGTAACTACTAGCGAGATATACATAATACGTGTTACTAATAATGATGATCATATCGTTTTTTTTTTTTTTTGTTTTGTAGCAACCCAAACAGACATTGGAGTCTCTGAGCAAAGATGAAATTATAAACAAATACAAGGGCTTATTGGGCATTGCAAAGAAAGCGAAGCAGGCCAAAGATGGTAAGTGAATTTGAAATCAAGTGAAGTGTTTGTATATTTATTTGTTGTTTTTGTTTCGTGGCCATGTCGTAGTGTATGAAGATGTGGAAATAATGGTATTTGTTTTTTTTTTTTTTTTTTGATATATCCAAATAGTTTGGACGAAAAAATTAAACTGAGTCTAGTCTAGTGTATTTTTTCGCAATGCATTTTCTCGAATGCACTATGGGTATCAATTAAAATTTGAAGTCCTGTTCACGATGATGACCTATGGGTCTCCACAATTCGGTATGTTCCTTTGGCTACTATTTTAAATTTCAAAGAAATATATATAAAAGACAACGTGTATTGGAACATACAGTTTATTACAAAGAGATTTTTTCGCGTAGCCGGTGTTAGAATCTGTCTAATGAAGAAAGCCTTAAATCTCAGGCTGAAGGCATGCCATCTATAAAAATTCTATTATTTACTTTAAAAATATATCCAATGATCTTCTTCAATATTGAATACAATAACAAATTTGGAAGGTACTTACCGAACATCGGATACCCATATCCACAGTAAGCATGTTCAATGGAAAGAGGTAACAGTAACCTTCATCCCGAAAGCCGGGAAGCCGTATCATACGGTACCAAAGGACTATAGACCGATTAGCCTCTCTTCCTTTCTACTCAAAACTTTAGAAAGGTTACTAGACTCAGACATTAGAAATAATATTGATCAAAGCAAAATTAGCAACTCCAAGCATGCACACATCGAAGGCAAATCAGTGGATACGGTCTCACATGAGGTGGTTGGACGCATTGAGAAGAATATGGAGGCTACAACTTGGCAGCGTTCCTCATTATTGAGGGAGCTTTCAACAATGTGAGGCTAGTGGCCATCCATTCTGCTCTCGTAAGTACAGGTATCCCCTAACTTCTAACGCACAAGATAGAGTTCCTTAGAAGAGAGTTCCGTAAGAAAATCTCTCAATAGAGGCACACCACAGGAGGGAGTACTATCTCCCTTTCTGTGGCTTCTGGTGACAAATGAGATACTGCTGAAATTCGATCATCTTAAAACAAAGGTTGTAGCATATACCGAAGATGTAGTCTTGTTGGTTGGTTGGAGATTTCTAATGACAATTTCAGATATTATGGAGGGCGCCCTTTCAGCACTGCCTAACTGGTCACACGTCAAGGGTCTTGGTGTAAATCCCACTAAGACAGAATTGGTGCTCTTCACTAGGAAACGTAAGATTCCTAGTTTCCGCTTGCCATCTTTGGAAGCAGTGACCCTTTTCCTTTCTGAAGAAGCAAACTACCTTGGCTCAATCCTTGACCGCAAATTAACGTGGAATAGGAATGTAGAGAAACGATCTAAGAAAGGACTGATTGCACTCTGTATCTTATGGTCGTTCTCCCCATTCTTACATGTGGTTGACTTTTAGGGAGGCAGGGGGTAAACAAAAAGATACTGCTGACAAAATTAAATTCAGTATAGCGATCAGCTTTGATCCTGACTACCGGAGCGCTATGAAGTACACCACAGGCAGCGATCTTGAATCTCCAACCACTGGACATTGTGATAAAATTCCTGGCGGCCAGATGTACCCTGAGGCTCCGAGAAACGGATGCCTGGAAATCGCAGAACTATGGTTGCGCTAGTATCCTGAACATAACGGCAGGTTGTGATTTCTTGAGGAGAAATACTTACATTAGTGACTATGTTCCCTTTCATAGAGACTTTAATAGCATCGGAGTAGAGTTTCCTAGTAGGGAATCCTGGACTACCTTTGCCTGGACTTACCTTTGCCAGGTCGCTCATTTTTCACAGACGGGTCAAAGATGGAGGAAGGCACTGGTGCAGGCGTTTACTGTAGGAAATTACAAATATACAACTCATATAAACTTAACAATCTTTTAGCGTTTTTCAAACAGAAATCCTTGCAATCAAGAAAGCGGCCGAGATAGTAAAAACACTTACTGCCGATAATACGGGACCGGTGACTACATATGTCGATAATCAGGCGGCCCTCAAGGCTTTGAAGTCGTGTACTATAAACTCAAAAGCAAGTCCGCTCTGAATGATATACGACGGATAGTTAACTTATGTTGGGTTCTAGGAAAAAGTGACATAGAAGGGAACGAGATAGCCGACGAGCTTGGTCGAGGGGGCTCACAATCGTCCAATCTTATTCAGGTGTAAATATTATCTTATATAAAATAAATATTTTTACCAAACCTAGACCGATTAGTACTGTCCCTCAATGATCAATATGAAGCGTATTGGTATCCGCAATATATCCGTACTGGTAACAATTTTGTAATCGCTATTTTTCTTTTTTTTCTATTTTAGAAATGCTTGAGGAAAATCGCAAATTAAAAGAGGAACTGCAGAAATGTGAAACCCAAAAGGAAGCCGATAAAAACGCTTTAATGACCATGAAAGAAATGTTAGAAGCCTATACAGAACATAAACTGCAGTTAACAACACAGCTGAGCGAATTAGAAAAACGACGAAAACAAGACAACGAACAGCTTGAAAAACTATCAATCGAAAATGAAAGTTTAAAACGACAAATTAGTCGTTTAAATGACGACAACGATTCGTTACTTCGTGATATTGAAAATATGGAATGTCAGCTGCAACAGGTCAGTGGCCTGGGAAAGGAGCAAAAACAACATTTGGTCATGTTAGAAGATGAAATCAATAAGCTACGCGAAGCTGAAATGGCAAATAAGCAGTTAACTGAACGAAATAATGAATTAACCAAGTCCCTGGATGAGTTGAAAGAGAAATATAGTTTTATCAAAGAAATCAATACCGAGCAGAGACATAAATTTAATGCGCTCAAAGATAGATTTATCGAAGTCCATAAGAAGGTGAAAAAACTTAAGGAATGCAAACGTATTTTACTGGAAACTCAACATGAATATGCCGATTCGGTATCACAATGGCAAATGGAAATTATCAAGGCATCCAAATTACTCTGTCAAGAATTGGATAGTTTGAAATTGGAGAATACAAAACTGTTGGAAAAGCTGGAAAATCAAAAACCAATCGAGGTGATTATTGAGAAAGTTGGCGCGTTAATGAAATTAACGGAGAAAGTTAAAAATGAATACAATATTATAACAAAAGAGAATGCAGAATTGAAGGAAAAATTGTCTAAAGTCAACAACAATGGATTGTTGGTATCTTCGGGTAATACGAACTTGTGTGAAGAAAAATTGGACAAACTCTTGGCACTGAGTAAATTAGCTATGACGGAATATGAAAATTTGAAAACTTCTAAAAACAACAGTTCTCCAGATGTCAATGAAGAAAGCCTTAGCCAATATATTGTACCTAAATTGGAGATATTAAACAATTTAGCGAATCGAGCTAAAAACGAATATCAGTTAAAATCCAAAGAATTGTGTGAGTTGAGAGAAGAAAAAGAAAATGTAAAAACTAATTCAACATGCATGGGTTGTGAGGCAAAATTGGCGGCTATAGAAAAACTTGAAGAGGATGTACAGAGATTAACAATGGCAAATGTAAAAACTAATTCAACATGCACGAATTGCAAGGCAAAACTTTCGGTTATAGAAAAACTTGAAGAGGATGTTCAGAGATTGACAATGGAAAATGACAGCTTGCAGAAGGACATCATGACAAAATCTAATTCCACCTCACAACAAGATATGGAAAATATTGTACAACTCAAAGAAGAATTGGAAACGTGTAAAAAATCTGCAAATAATTTCCAAGAAATGTATCAGCAAAAGGAGCGCGAACACTATGAATTGTTGGATGAAATGCGTGAACTCAACGAAGCCCTTAAGGCCAGAGGCGATTTAATATCTCGACAACAAGAAGAACAACAACAATTGAAAAATGAATTGAAAATAACCAGTGAAAAATTAGAATTAATACAAGGTGAACTCAGTGCCAAACAACAAGAATTCACAGAGAAACAAGAAAGCTTCGAGAGGTTGACAAAGCTACAGCAAGAAGAATCGAAACAGAAATTAGAAAAACTAGAAACCACCAATAACCTAAATGAGGAAAAATTACGCATTCTTAACACGGAATTGGAAATTCTAAAGAATTCAACTCAAAACAATGCCGCCGATATTCTAGACAATCAAAGCGAAGTATTGTCCACATCCACTATTTCACGAGCCGATGAATTGCAACGCCTTAAAGATGTCGAAGACTCCTTCGAGGAAAAATACAACAAGCTTCGGGCATTGGCTGCAAAACTGAAGAAAAAGCTACAAGATGAAGTGGGCGTTAAACAGAATTTAGAAAAGGAACTCGATCAAATGAAATCGAATGAAAGTGAAATGAAAATCCAAATAAGGGAGCTACAAAAGCGTATAGACGACTTGGACATGCAACTGCTGGAAAAACAAAAACTCGCTGACACACTGAAGAGTGAAAATCAAAAGCTGAAATCATCACGCAAACAGGCGAATGTCTTAAATTTAGAAATAGAAGCTGCCGAAAAATCCCTCACCGAAGTGAATAATAAACTTGCCAAACGTACCTCAGAACTGGACAATGCCCAGGCAGAAATTAAAACAAAAGATCTTACCATCATTCAACTGCGTAAGGAAATTGAATTGCTGGAATCATCCAAGGCGGCGGAGACCAAACATTCGCAAGAATTAAAAGACCAAATTGACCATCTACAAAAGACGATAAAAGACACGGTTCACAGTAAACAACAAGCGCTGGAAAAATCCAAGATACTCGAACAAGATGTGGAAAACTTAAAAATGGAATTGGAAGCGGCCAAGTTTGAATTATCGAATGCCACCTGCAATTTAGAACAATCACTGGGCCAGATAAAGGCCGAAAAAGAACAGTTAACCGAACAGCTGGCGGCCAATCAAATAAAACTCTCCGAATGTGAGCAAAAATTAAAACATGCCGAGAGAGCTACTGAGGACTTGCGTGTTGAATATTTGGACTATAAGGTTAAGGCCCAGGCAGTCCTAAGGAAAAATCAAAATCGCGATTCCACTAAAGAACGTGAGCTGGAAGAAGAAATTGTAACGCTGCGAGCCACCGAGACACAATTGAAAACCACCATCGATACACTAACGACAAAACTGCAGTCAGTGGAAAATGAAAAAGCCAACGTCCAAGAAGAACAACAATTGGTCAAGAAGCGTTGCAGCGAACTAATGCAATTGGTTGAAGAGATGCGTAAACAAAACGACACCCTCAATCAGGAAGTGCAACAACATATAAAACAACAAAATGAAATCCTTAAACAACATCGTCAACAAATTGAAACCATGGACGAATGTCACAAGGATCAAGTGAAGGCACTCAATGCTAATCATCAACGGCAATTGGAACAATTGCGTAAAGATTTGGCAGCCAGTAATTTACGTTTACCCACGACAATTGGCGGCACGGACACCACAACAACAAGAATGGATCATCATCAACAACAACAACACATCGTTGGCGATCACTCAAATTATCTACTAATGGAACGTGAAGATGCCGAAGGTTCTGAGGAAGCTGCTGAAACATTAGCCTCATTGGCTGCCTCAAGGAAAATATCAAATGCCTCATCGAAACGTTCTCATGATTTTATGCCGCTAGATGAACTGCTAAATACGCCCATTAATGCAATTAACAGCGAGACGTTAATTAGTAATGCCCTTCACATTCCCGATAATCTAAACAACAATAGTGATTTGTTACAATTGGAATTGAATTCCACCAAAGAACGTTTACAGAAGCAAGAAAGTCGTGTTCGTCATTTGACAGCATTATTGGCAGAAAATGAACAGGATTTGGCAAAGTTAACACAAATGAATGATATGCTTAAGGAGGAGTTGCGTAGGCAAGAGCGTTCAGCGGAAAGGGAACAGCATTTACATAATTCGGAATATGTTAAAAATGTGATATTGAAGGTAATACGGCATTTACATTAGAACTTTTTACCGGGTTAACCTACTTTAAGAGGATTTATTTGGCACATATTCAAAGGAATTGAAAATTTAAACCCACTGGGTTAACCAAATCCGGTTTAATGTAAACGACCTTTAAGTTATTTTGTGGATTAGGGGAGATATTTAGTCACAGAAATATGTTGTTAGCAAAGCTGATGATGATGGGTTTTAATTCTGAGAACAGCCGTTGTCGATTACTATGAAACCTTAGATATTGGCAGATTAATTCTTCGATTGTCTCTATATACTTCTTTTTTATCATCACATAGACTACGATATTTAATTGGTTTGAGGTCATGTATGCCGTGTTCTTGGCCCATCCAAAAATCAACAAGGATAAATTATTTCATTTTCTTTGATATCGCAATGTCAAGGAAGCCTACAAAAATGAACGAATCGTCGTATATCATCGGGCAACTCAATATTACATTAATGACCGTTTCTGAATTTATAGTGGAGTGGGGGTTTGTGGTTAATATTCATGGAATAGTTATATGGTGATGAGATTTGTGTTTTGAGGTGGTCATGTATCAACAAGGTTTCTTTCGCTATTCTGGGTACCCTGACAGCAATCGTTGAAATACTGATGGGCACCCACTGTTAGGGAGGTCACTTTAGGTTGGAAGTATACTAGGCTAGGTTAGGTTTGAGGATTTGCAGTCACTAATGTGGCTGCAGCACTCTGAGACCGTCAGGTCCATAGTGATCATCAACCATCAATTGCTAGATCTGTAGATTGAGAGCCTCGTCTAGCTAATTCGTCTGCTCTTTCATTATCCATGATACCACGGTGTCCTGGTACCCAAAACAGCCGATAGCTGTAAGTTCTACCAAAACTGTTCTACACTTGAGGACTGCCTCAGATTTGATGTAACAGGATTTGATGGCTTGAAGAGCAGCTTGACTATCCACAAAGATATATAGTGCAGCTCATCCAAATTAAAAGACCCTATTCCGAGATGTTTTCCCTTCCACTTGATCTTTCCATCGGATCCGTGGCATTTCCCTACTTTTGTGCTGGGGCATCCCCATCCATTCTCTTAACATGATGTTGCCAACGCAGTCGCTACAGCTCGATACGTCTGACTATGTCGATGTCCGAGAATAAATGTTATAGCTCATGGTTCATTAACCGTCGACGCCTGGGGGAGTTGCCAATCTCCTACTAGGCGCGTCTTCCCGATGGCGGATGGAAAGGGGGTCTCCATGATGTGCAGAGAAAAACTGACCTAGGTCTCCTACATCAACTTTTTCTGTACTTCGTGGAAACCTTGGGGATCTTCGGATCCCCCGTGGACCAAAATGGATCGGTGTAGTGCCCTTAAATAAATTAACTATGATGGGAAAAGGAAGCAAAAAGGAATAAAGTTACGGTGCAGGGAGTTAATAACCCAGTAGCGGCGGCAATCGTTGGTGAGGTCACAAGCCACGTGTCGTCGAGATGAAGCGATTGTGATCCGGCTGTTCTAGGTGTGGATGCCTTGGCACCTACAGCTGTACCTGCTACAAGTGCACCAATTCCAAACCAAAACGTTGACGAACCGGCTACTCCTTTGGCAAACGAAAATGTCAAGACTGATGAAAATCAGTCTTTGGCTGACAGGACTGTAGTTCTGGAAGGGGACGACCTAAATGGGACTCTACGCGCTATCCGCGATAGTCTAGAGGTAGTCCTGTAGAGTGTGAGTTTGGTCTGGTGAGGGGTGGCCTTGTTCTTGAATTGCTTACTCAGACGATAGAGCATCTGTTTGCCACCACTACTTATATCTGGATTTCAAAGCCGAGGTATATAAAATCTTTGACTACCACGAAGCTATAGTCTCCAAGTTCCACAGTTGTTCGAGTCTATTAGACGTCTTGCGCGTTGATACCATCTGCTTGGTCTTTTTGCCATTTACTGTCAGACTCCTCAATTCGTTCAAAGGTGACTGTTACCGCTCGCAATGTTCGACTCATTAGATCGATGTCGTCGGGGTAGGGGAGTAATATATGTTGGTGTACACATTTACATCTCGTATGGCCTTTTCCAGCAGGGTGTTAAAACAGGTCACACGGCAACTGCTGACCTTGTAAAGTTAAAATTATCCTGCATAGACGTTCAGGTTTCTCCTTCTTTGAAGGGACTACCGTGGTGGTCTTAGTACTGGGTCGGGGGATCCTATCAATCAAGAAGTCCCTCTCAATATCGTTTGGATAGTTCCTGGAGAACTTCCGGATAAATTTGAGGTTCCTCTTGATTAAAAGGAACTCCTTTCCCGTGATGGAGTCGCTCTCCAGTCCGACGTATCGGTTGCAGAAGTTAACTGCTCTCCGGTACATCTTCTTGGCAGCGATCTCCTTGGCATCGACTTGCCTAGCTGGTACTGATGAATCATCCATCCTATCGACGGGGGTCTCATAAGTACCAGTATCCGTTTCGACAGCCAACTGCCTGAGTAGTCTCGCGACATCACTACAGGCCGTGGAAATTGAGATCTTCAACCCCGCCAGGGTTTACTACCCTAGTCATCAATTGGGAGGACTCTCCTTGCTTCGAAGGAGACGCCATGGTCGCTGCTGTGTTTTTCACCGCAGTGCTAATCACTACAGTTTCCATTATGTCTTCCTCGTCTGACAAGGGCGAGTCATTCCAGAGCTGATTGGGTATGCTCTCCTGACTAAGGCGGAAGGAAGGCAGTCAACACACATGTCTGGCCCCAACATGCCAAGGCAGCCACACCAGCTTCAGTCGGAATATCGCATACTAAATTGTTTTTGTTTTAAGTTATTCTGACTTCATCTTGGCTATGTGGTATACAAATCTATTCCGTCATCTCTTATTGGTTCTGGTAGTGTATATTAAGAAACAAATTTATATTGAAAATATGATAAAAAAAACGGCTAGGTGCTAGAAAATAGATTGAAAATGAAAAAATAACGCACATTTATTCCCTTTTTAGTTTTTAACACTGAATAATGCTGACGAGAAGACACGCTTGGTACCTGTATTGAATACACTGCTTAAATTAAGCCGAACCGAAACCGAAATGCTAAATTGTGTTGCCAAAGGTCAAAAAGGTAAATAAATAATTACAAGCAAAAACAAAAAAATGATAATTTTTCCAACAAAATGTTTTTTCTATTATTTAGTGGCTGAAACGACGACGAGTGCACAACGCAGTGGTGGATGGGGTAATTTTTTACCTTGGAGCGGTGGCAGTAATAATAATTAAAATTTAATACAATGCGCGGTATGTGAGGGAAACCAATCGATTAAATTTTCACTTCAGATTACACTACAATTAGAAAAGAAAAACCAATCAAAATTATAAAAGACATTTTCTAAACACAAATCAAATCGATTTATTTTCCCATTACATTCCACGAAAATTTCACCCACAATAATATTGTATAGTTTTAGTATTAAATATTTGTTTATAGGCTATAGTATTGTGTAAATAATAATTCCATTTTGTGTCACATAATATTTATTGTATTATATATATATTTTTATATGTATTTCTATTTACGTAATATAGCAATATAAAATAATAGAAATGATAATTTATACAAAGTCCATAATAATAGTAATGATAAACTAAGAGATATACAAACAGTATATATATATGTGTTATATAAACTTATTTAGTTATAATAAAATTAAATTGTAAACATATGTATACATTTCGAGAAAAAACAATATGTATATAAAAATACTTAAATCAAAGAAAAAAAAAAAAATAAAAATCATTTACAAAATAAAAAAGAAAGAGAAATACCATTAAATCACAATTTCTTTGCTTTTCTAAAACAATATATAAATATATATTTCTAATATAAATGAGATAAATTTTAATAGCTATTTTTTATTTTCTTTATAAATTTGCAAATATTTTGAAACAATGTTTATTATATTTCTTTATTTATTTTTTTTATTATTTGCAAGCCCTGCTGTATGCTGTTCCATTATCATAATACTCCAGACAATCTCAAAATAATTTTTACTTTCGAAAATTATATTTCGAAATATATAATAGGGATACATTCAATTATTATGCACAAAAATATCATCTTTTTCGAGTAACAGTGGCCACGGCTTTCAAAAAAGCTATTTCGAGAAAAAAAAACGCATTTGAAATTTGTATCTACGTACAAATAACACGAGTTGAATGCCTAGACGAGGAGAGAATGGCATCCCTAAATATATACATCCTATGCCATTTCTTTCCTAAAGTGAGCCCCCTAACGCTGGAGTGTTAGGGGACTTGTTGCCCAACACGTTTTTTAGTCGTGGTATCGATTACAACGTAGCCTCAACAAGTTATTTTTAGTTGCTGAGGCTTAACCATGATACGAGGCTATGTCGACCTCAAGTCCCCACGCAAAAAACTTTCATGGATTCGACTTTTATAAACTACCCTACCCTCACAACCTCCATGGCAGACTTGCGCAAGAATTGACATTGAAGTGGTTAGTGGTGCTAATTATTTTCCCATCGAAATAATGGGTGATTTATCAGCACAAAAAAACAAAAAACAAACGCGTCAATGACAAATAAAGGACTTGACGAAGAATTCTTTCTGAATGAATGAATTTGAGGTTCCTCTTAATTCATCGAAAGTTCTCCTAGAAATATCCGAATGACACTGCGTGGGACTATAGCCTCCGGAGAAGAAGGCCGTGATTAGCCTAAGCACATCTGGAAAAATTATGGCAGGGTCTTCTAATCAATCAGAGCCCTTTAAGGGTTCTCTGAATGTTGAAAAGTTCTTGATACTATCTTCCAGTGCGAAAGAGGGTAAGCTAGGAGGAGAAACCTCAGAAAGGCGGCCAGGACATAACCAGTTGCTGCTGGATAAACCTAAAGTGGCGAACCCAATGCAAGAAGTGCGACAGTTGGAATTGCAGCACAAAATTCCACCAAACGCGTAAATGTCAAATAAAGGACTTGATGATGAATTCGTTATGATTAAGAGGAACCTCAAGTTCATTCAGAAGTTCTCCTAGAAATATCCGAATGGCACTGCGTGGAACTTCTGTAATGGTGGCCTCAGTTAACCCTTCAGCGGAGAAGAAGGCCGTGATTAGCCTGAGCACATCTGAGAAAATTATGGCAGGGTCTTCTAACCAATCAGATCCCTTTTAAGGGTTTTCTGAATGTTGAAAAGTTCTCGATACCATCTTCCAGTGCGAAATAAGGTAAGCTAGGAGGAGAAACCAACCAGTTGCTGCTGGATAAACCTAAAGTAGCGAACCCAAAGTAAGAAGTGCGACAGTTTTAATTGCGGGGACCTAAACTCTAACATCACTTCCAATCAATTAGAGCCCTCTAAGGGTTCTCTGAATATTGAAAAGTCCTCGATACCATCTTTCCCTGCAAAAGAAGGTAAGGTAGTGCCGGACACATTTCTGCGGTCTCCTCAGGTGTCTAGAAAGGCGGCCAGGATACAAACAGTTGCTGCTGGATAAACCTAAAGTAGCGAACCCAAAGCAAAAAGTGGGATAGTTGCAATTCCGGGGACCTAACACAACCACTGGCTGTGAAAAGGATGAGGTCCTCAGATGAGCAACAACATACTGCACAGAGAACTACGCAGTCGCTCAATGCAAGGCAAACTACTACGGCTTCGGTTACGTCTATGGGGACCCATGTCAAGAGCGGTAAAGGAGAGACGAAAACCAAGCCCGCCGTTTTGAAGCCTAACTGCTCAAATAGGAGCTCCAGCAGCCCGGCGGATTGAGCTGACCCCGATGGGTTTATCAACGATAATCATTGGTTGTCGGTTGGGAGATTTATGCAGGACCTCTTCCTTAACGACCAAGTTGAACTGCAGAATTAATGAGTGGTCTGTGATCCTGAAATGCCAAACTGAAAGACCTTTCAGTTTGAAAATGAGGTCAGAGGAATAATTTTAAAATTTGAATCTATATTATCATTTTTCCGCTAATAACCTGGATTACAACATTTTTGGATTGACAAACATTTCTTCTTCCATCCATTGAGAGGCCCCAACAGATGACGTTTTGGACATAGAATCCCAATGCCGAGCTGTATGGCGATTTCAACAGACAGACATAGAATTTTACACCGCTCAAAAATATATATTCATCATTATGAAGGTCGGTCGGTCTTCGATGAATATTCTGAGGAATGATGAAATTAATATAACCTTCTCCATTATGTGATTTTCAACCTCAATTCGTCTCAATAACCGTTGTACAACAATTATTTAATTTTTATTGCCACCGATTCATTACTTTAAAAGTATATGAGAAATAGTCGCTAGAAATTAAAACCAGTAATTAAAGTCGGACGGGACCAGCCATGTGATATGCTACATAACAATTCTGTTATTGCCTGGATTAATAATTTTGGTTATATACTTTAGATTAGTCTAACATCCATAAATCGAATTTTTTTTAAGTCGAATCAAATCAAATTAGCCCTTAAAAGACAGCGTTGCCACGAATTATGGAAGTTCGACTGTATATTAAGACTTGCAACCATTCACACAATTTATATATAATGTCTAATTTGTTTTATGTTTATACTTAAATTTTAATCAGTTTCAAATTCTCACTTTGCTATACGAGATATACCTAACAAAAGAAACTTAGCTGAGAGAGTAGATCTATTTATTGCCAAACTCCGGCATAGTTTCCAACTAATGTCGCTGGCAATGGACCACCGGCAGCAAATAGACGCATTCCCGTACTATCATAACAATGCGTATATATTGCGGGTACATACTTAACATTGAAACCGTCCATTTCATCTTCCGGATACTTGAAGGAAACAAACAAAAATAATAAATTTGTAATTAGTTTTGATATTTGTAGACATAATTTTTGTTTGATAACTCAAAAGGGAGTAAAGAGCAAATAATTATACAATGAAAACCAGTTCAAAAGTCGGACGGGGTCGACTATATGATACCCTTATATTCTTGATCTAGAGGTTCACGTTTATATCTTTGGACCTATCTTTGGAGATCTCTTCTAACGTGCCTGTATGGAGGAGTTCTGCCCATAAGAGTATGACAAGGATATTGTAGTGGCTTCCGCAGACGACTTGAAAAGGCTGCCGAACGTTACTCCCAGGATCTTAGGGTTGTTAGTGGTCGGAATCAGTTTTCCAGCGCCACCATAACTTTCCTACTACACTTCCTGTTCTGGATGAGTTCTTCCGTTATGTTGTGTGGAAAAGGCGAGCAAAGCTGTTGGTGTTCTGTGCTGCTTTCGCTTTGATCATCAGCAACTGAGTAGCATTTACCAATTCTTTGGGAGTAGTAATTTCTCAAGAGCCTTAGCTGCGGGCCACAAAAGTGACATCGGCCTGTATGATTTACCTTAACTAGTATACTTGCCTGGCTTACGTAGCGGTAGCACACTGCCCATTTTCTAGGCATCGGGAACTATTAGGGTGGCGAACGAAAAATTGAGGACATTGGTTAGGTACTCTACTCGTGGCTAATCAAGTTGCGTCAACATCAGCATAGATATTCCATCCGGTTCGAGCGCCTTGGATGAATTTGGGCTTCTTATAGCATTTGCAATATCCTCCAACGTAAATTATGGTAGTTCCTCCTCCACTTGAAGAGATCTTATACGGTGCAATACTCTTCTCTAATCGCTGTCTCTCTCGCGGTGCTCTACAAACTACACCTCTTGGGAGCTGTCACTTCAATGCCGTTAAGCGAGACAGACGTCCCATCATCCTTCCTTAATGGGTTCGAGAGAGACAACGTTACTGATGTTACAACACTTCAGATGTTCTAGCTACTTTTTTCGCTTGAGCTCGCCGACTAACCTGTTTACTTTCATTGTCAGTTCTCTGATTCTGGGGTTATTTGGGGTTAGTTAATTTGCTTTCTGCTCTTTTTCTAATTCCACTGCCTCTTCTGGGAAGTTGGGTCTCAATTCGGGTATACGACCCGAATTTCATTCTGATGACCCGGAAATTTCATTCTTCTAACCGAGCATCATATGGATTGGACAGTTATCTGAAGCGACGATTGGTGAAATTTCAGAATTCTTTCCATAGTTAAAGAAAGTACGGCGTTCAGAAGTTATGAAATCGATTGGGTTAGGTTTAGGTTTTTCTTAATTTGTATGTCTTTAAATATGGGGTGCTCCCCAAAAGCTGTTATACACCCTTCAATTACAATATACAACCTCGTTTCAATTTTTTAATTATATTAAATTTTTGTTATCTTAAATTTTCTTTTAACGAAAAAGAATGCCAAATGCAAATACTTACCACAATACCTTTGCTGCATTTCAATGTTACAGTACGCGAAGCATTAACACTGCTCTCCAGATATTTTCCAGCACGTATATCATAGAATAATAACATTCCCAGGCCAGTGCCAACTGTTAGTAGATTGCCTTCAAATGAGGTCGAACGTATGCCACAACCACTATAGCGGGAAGTGATTTTTTTTATTGTCTACAAAATAAATAGAAAAAATGAAAAAATTAGCAGAGTATTACATTCCCTTACGAATGCTATCGAAATTCGTCAATAACATAATATTTACCTGTAACGTTCTGGTATCCAATAATATCGTGTACGAACGGCATCCAATGGCATAGAGGCCATCACTATGGTATGCTATGCTAACATTATCTTGACAATTTGGCAGTTTACGTGATAGTTTTTGTTTAAATGTCTCCGCATTAAATACGTGTATGAAGCCATTTAGCGATAAGGCGGCAATTTCCCGAAATTCTTTATTAAAACATAAAGAACGTATCTAAAATTACAAAAAAAAAAAAAAAAACGTTAAAATTAAACTGAAATTTGTTTTTATATTTAATTCATCTCGCAATTTTCCAAACATTAGAATCCCATATCCGGGCAAGTGGATTTAAAAAAAAAACAGTAAGGAAAGCAGTAATACCCTTCACCACTTTGGGATATTCTACATTTGTTTCCTAACAGACTCCGCCTTTTCGAAGAACATGAAATTGGACCGATTTTTGTGGACATCATTTCTGCAAATCGAAATATATATACTGACTTCGATGCACCATTTACACAAAATCGGACGAAAATTTGTATGGAAGCTATATCTAAACCTGAACCTATTTTCGCGAAACTTAACACACACCATTCTAGGCTCAATTAAGTGCGCTATGCAAAATTTCGTGCAAATCGAATGATATATAGGAACTTTGGTGCACCATTTACAAAATCGGACGAAAATATATGTGAGAGCTATATCTAAATCTGGTCCGATTTTCAGGAAACTTAACACACATCATTCCAGACCTAATTCATTACGCTATTCAAAATTTCGTGAAAATCGAGAGATATTTAGGGACTTTGGTGCACTATTTACATCAAATCGGACGAAAATATATATGGAAGCTATATCTAAATCTGAACCGATTTCCCCCAATTTCATTAGGGTTCGTCCTTGGGCCAAATAAATGAACTGTGCCAAGTTTCCTCCAAATCAGTTATAAATGCGACCTGTACTTTGTTTACAATTTAACACCATGCGTAAATCGACGCAGAAAGTGATTCTATGCATATTCACAAAGGAACCATGTGTCAATCTCGTTTACTTTTGCTCTAATACTCTGTACCACAGTGTGGTGAAAGGTACAAAAATTTATTATTTGTATACTGGAATTTTTGTTTTACAAAAATGAAATAAATTATTCTTTTACTTACTCTGTGTGCCGTACGACAATCTCGAACACATAGTGGATTAATTGTGGCTACTGTGGGACAAAATTCCTTACCGCCATCGGGAAATTCCATATGTTCTTCGTTGACACGCCACAAAGCCATACGTGAATCTTTCGATCCGGACACTATGAACTGATCATCAAGCCAACACATGCCCATTATTAGATCTCTATGTCCGTTCTCACCCACACATATAGGATCTAGTGTTGGTAATCGATATATGGCAATGTCGGCGGAATTTCTAGCCCCCGTAGCTAAATATGTACGACTTGGATTTATTTCAATTGCATGAAGACCTCCTTGAACTTCCGGATGATTGGGACGATTGGTAGAGAGTGTGGGAATTGCATCAACACGTCGCATATTTACATCGTAAACCAGGAGCTGTAATCAAAACCACAAAAAACCCAAACAACAACAAAAATAAATAGGTATGTTTGTAATCGAATCGCCTACCTTATTGCATTTGGTGCCAAAAATAACCTGGCGATTGCTTAGCCATTTCGAGCAAAACACCTTGTTGATATAACCCAAACTTATTTGCGTTTCCCGCAACATATCATGCGTCAAAACATAGCGACTGGTCTGTTCGAAGTTAAAGCTACGTCTCTGCAAAAAAACGAAGAAATGCATGTCCTTCATTAAAATCGCCTGTAATCGCCAAACTAAAAAACGATACTCTAGGACACATTATTACTTCACTCAAACCATTTTCCCGGCTGCGTATAAAATCATAGACATTGTACGATGTATGCAGAACTTCTTCCTGTTGTTCCGGCGTCTCCTCGTCGCTACCGGAATCTTCGTATGTCACAAAATCATCGGGTTTATCTGGCTTTCGCCTGCGTTCTGCCCTTAGTGCTCTTGCCTTAGCTCGCCTTTCATCCAGACGCGAAGCAATGTGACATGAAGGATACGTTCCTACGATACTGTTTCGTACGGTTTCAACCATGCCATTGAACATTTTTCTTGTCTGGAACTTGTCTAACAATTCCATGGGCGACTAAAAAGGGACTAACAACAATACCAACAGTAGTTTGGTTTGGTAAAACAAAACACAGCATTTAAAATGTAATTAACTATTTCTTTTGTGTGCGGCTTACTTGTGCCGTTATCTAAACGTTTTTGTCGTTTGCTTAAGATAAAATATCTTTGAAAGAAGATTAATATTAAAATATATTTTTGTGGTAAACTCGGAATAATTTACAAACAAAAAAGTTTGCCCAGAATTAAATGAAATAACTTTTGACAGCGGAGAAAATCATTCGCCACCTTCACAAGAAAAGAAATATTGAAAAACGTTCCACCTTTACGAATGGGATGGATAAGACAAAATGCCCGGTAAAGAAGAAGTAAAAAGAAGACGGAAAGTTACGAATGAGGTGGGATGGAGACTAAAAAGGAGTTGGATTGTTTACGAATGAGGTTTAAGCAACAAGAGTAGCAAGGGTAGCTCACATTCAGAGTTTTCTAATTACAACCCTGTAAACTGAGGTCAAAGCGGAAGAGACGAGGACTAACCTGGCGAATGCAGTTGAAAGCAAACTAGCCGAAGACCAACCGTGGCGAATGAGAATCAAAACAAACAAACCGAGTACCAGCCAACAGCTGATCAGATTGATCAACTGTTTGTAGTTCCGGAATGAACTAGAACTAGTTCATTGAATGCAACTTCGTTTTGTTATTCACTACAACATGATAACACATTGTTCTATGCACTATAAAAAAGGGAATTTACGTATTGGATTTAACTAAAAGGATTTAATTAAATAGTATAATGAGTAATAAACTATGTGAAATTAAAAAAAACGTTGCCACTTGTTCAGTACGGGAACAGATAGTATTTACATAAAAGCACACATATAGATATTTTTAAAAATATATTATATTAACAATAACAATTATTTAATACAACTCCTTTTATGCTATTTTAAAATCAAAAATAATTTCGACTAATAGAATAATAGAAGAGGACATTTTATACTTACTCAAAATACACAGTTAAATCCTCATAAAGTGAGTGGGTTAAAAAGGATTTACATATAAAATTTAATCATGATGAAAGGTTGGAGAAGGGTTTATTTTCTTAATCAGGATGAATTCACCACGATTTATTACACAAATTTAAATCATCGTGCGGCATGGTCATATGACTATAACCTGCTTTTGAAGAACCGTCATGTAAAATATGTGGAACATGCTGTATACTAGCATGAATCTACAAATTTTATTTTAAGGCCCGTACCTAAATTCAGGCCCGTACCTTCTCACCTTTTGAAGTTTGTTGAACATCCGTATTACCCAAATACGCAAGGATATTATTTGCTTGTGTGTCAAATAAAAACGGCGAAAATGGATGACAACATTTTCTTAATTATCCGAAAAATGTCTACACTTATACAAAAACTAATTTTTCAATTATTAGAATTCTATTTTCAAAAAACAAAAATTCCAAGATACGCATTTTCAATGTTGAAAATTTTCAACTTTATATTTTTGTACGCAATGCGTATTTGTGTAAAATTCATTTAAATACATGTATTTAAGTTTAGAGGCGAATAAAAACGTACACATACGCATGAATTTAGGTACGACCCTAATAACATAACTCTTGCGGGTTCTCAAACAGACATTTGGTCTGTTCCGTACTGCAAGAATACACATTTTTTTACAATTTTTTACCACGATAACGATTTTTCGTTTATAATATCGAAGCAAGTATTAAAAATTAGAAGAATCTTGCAGTACACGAACAGATCAATAATTGAGTTATTTTTTTAAGGAAGGATAATCTAACCCTGCGATAACAGGGTACAGGACATTCGGAGACAATTGAGTTCATGCGTCTGTTTACTTTTCCAGTAACATGTACTCAGTATGTTATATTTCAGAGAACAAGTTGTGCCATTCTCTTTTGGAATAATACGGAGAAAAGTAAACATACAACATCCAGTAAGTAATAGTCAGTTGGTCCAAAGAAATATAATCGATAAAAAAGTTAGTTTAAAACTAGTTCATTTCCCTACAGGGTCACTAGACTACTGACAAATATATAAATGTATTGGTTAATATGGTTTGTATCTTTGCTATTGTCACCTCAAAAATATGTTTGTGAACGCCAGATAACTATAAATAGAGTTTGTGTGTCACCCTGTAATTTCGATTAACAACATGTTATCGAAAGTTATCGAAGCAGCTGATTTTCACTTGCACCATTAAATACCAAAAGTCGACTTACATATCCCAGCACAAAAACATCCAAAGACCAATGAGGGATATTCCCCAATTCAATTCCAAAAACCCCCTTAATTTCCCGTATTTGTGTGCGGTTATAAAACAATGCTGATTTCGTCTGTGATTGCCAGTTTTCGCAAACTATTCTCAACGGTCAGTCGCAAATAAAAAAAAATGTTTAGTAGCACGTCCAAGGAAAAGAAGAAATTGCAAGATGAGTTGCGGGAGATAATCGGCAGCGATGAATATCCCCACGTTCAGCAAATAAAGATTTGCAATTTGACCGAAAAACAATTGGTGAAAATGTTAATGGAAAAGCAAATAGACATTAAATATCCCATTGATCGTTCGTTGTGTGAAGCTCAACTTCTAAGTGTCGTAGATGGGGATACCGTTGTGTTAGTCGATATGGTAAAAATTGATTCCCTATCGGTGGAACAGTTAAAAGAAGCATTGGCTAAAGTGTCAAAACCTAAAAAAACGATACGTGAAATACAACAAGAATTGGCGGAAAACTGTGGCTATGGCAATGACATCATTTGGGATCAGTAAGTAGTCTATTAATATTTAAATAAATGCGTAATTACTGTGTTCACGATGACGTTGCATGTAGTGGCTCAAAAAGTGTACGGAACTGCAGAACCAACGTACGAGCAAATGTGCGCCTTTTGCTAGTGGTGCATTCAGTCGCTCAGATATTTTTAGAAACATTTTTATATCCTTCACCACACTGTGGTACACAGGGTATTATGCATATGTTTGTAACAGGCAAAAGGAAACGAAATAGACACATGGTTCCTTTTGGGAATATGCATGGAATCACTTTCTGAGTCGATTTATGCATGTCCGTCCGTCTGTAGATGTTAAATTGTAAACAAAGTACAGGTCACTGACTCCGTAAACGTTGCAATCAAATTTTTGGTTAATGCGTGCAAAAGTTATCGAGGTTTTAATTTTGGGCATAAGAAAAAAAATCTTAAAATTACGCCGTTTATTATATTGACCAAAAACGTTGATATATATCTTCCTTCGTAAAGTAAGAATATGAAATATGAGAAAAATTATAAAAATATATGAGATTACGTCATAATTTTCATTATATTCATGACATACATCCACCTAAAAATTAACTTAAAAATATAAAACCGATACACAAGTCTGTGTAGCGGTTTGTAAATTACAGCGACAACAAAACAAGATATTGAGGAAAATTATTTGTTTTTGGTTCGAAGAAATAATGTCATCATATTTATTTTTTTAATTTTATACAAAAAATTTCAGAAAAAATGTTGGGGTTATTGTTCTATTTTACTCGAATTTCACCGGAAAATTGGCATATATAAACATTATCACTTCTTCTGTATAAGTATTATAGCAAGACCCTTCCAACAAATCCTGGGGTTCTATAATAAAGAATAAATCTTAAAATAAAACTATATTACGAAATATACAATGGCGCGTTAATGGCATAACGCGCATACGATTTCGGTGTGCAACCTAAAAAATACATCGATCTTTACCTATTTCAATGCGGTCCATTAAGAACCATGGATGACCCAGCTCACACTATTTTTGAGATAAATTGGGTATATCTCTCGTTCGACTTCAAAATCCGTATCAGGTCATTATATGATCCACAAAAAATGCAAATAAATCCGCGATATTTTCAAAAACATATTTTTGCCAAATTTCGTGATTTTAAAAACCAGTTCTCGCCGTTCTAGTAGATTGATTTTCACGAAGAATATTTTATTTCATCCGAAACGTAAAAAACCCTACTGACCGCGAGTACTCATATCTTTTAATTGACAGATCTAAAAATAGGGGTTTTTTTTTTTTGAAATTTGATCGCACAAAATTTTCACTTTTGGATGAGCTGTGAAGCTGTGCATACTACATACACAAATGGCCTGTTCCCGTACTGCAAGAATCTACTAGATTTTACTATTTTCTTCGATAACATAAAGGAAAATTCGTTATCGTAGTAAGAAGTAGTAGATTCTTTCAGTACGGGAACAGACCAAAAATGTATATCAAATTACTCATATTCGCGACTACAATAATCGTATAATCGATTTTTAGAAATTGCTGTTTGCGTACCAAAGCTAGATGTAAAATTAAATAAACACTCAAAATTGAGCTTTAAAATGTCAGCATTATTTAAAGGTAGGTGGTGTTAAAATTTTAATTTTTACTTTGACACGAAGTCCGTGAAATGAGTGGCTTATATAGAGAACATAAAAAACTGGTTCGCCTCAACCTGTTTTTAGACATTTTTTTTTTGCATTAAAGTAGACACAGCTTCCACCCAAATAAAGTTTGGAGGTCAATATCATGAAAAGTTTGCAACGACAAATCAATAAACCCAAAATTATTCACTTTTTTCATATAATTAAGTAGTTCCCAAGTTATAAAGGGGCGAACCTCCGCTTCAGCTATGGTAAAAAATTGGCAATATTGCCCATATATATTTTCGTCCGATTTAATGTAAATAGAGTACCAAAGGCCCTATATATCTTTCAATTTGCACGAAATTTGGCACAGTGCACTTAATTGAGTCTAGAATGATGTGTGTCCCAAATATATTTTCTTCCGATTTTATGTAAATGGTGCACCAAAGTCCTTATATATCTTTCAATTTGCACGAAATTTGGCACAGCATACTGAATTGAGTATAGGATGATGTGTGTTAAGTTTCTTTAAAATCGGTTCAGATTTAGATATAGCTCAAATATATATTTTCGTCCGATTTAAGGTAAATGGTGCACCAAAGTCCCTAAATATCTTTCGATTTGCACGAAATTTTGCACAGCGTACTGAATTAAGCCTACAATGATGTTTGCTAAGTTTCCTGAAAATCGGTTCAGATTTAGATATAGTTCCCATATACATTTTCGTCCGATTTTACGTAAATGGTGCACCAAAATCCTTATATATCTTTCGATGTGCACGAAATTTGACACAGTTCACTTATTTGAGTCCAAAATGATGTGGGTTAAGTTTCGTGAAAACCGGTTCAGATTTAGATATAGTTCCCATATATATTTTCTTTCGATTTTAGGGTTATGGATCACCAAAGCACCTATATCTCTTTCGACTTCCACGAAGTTAGGCACAGTCTAGAATGATGTGTCTAGAATGATGTGTGCAAAGTTTCGTGAAAATTGGTTTAGATTTAGTATAGCTCACATATATCTTTTCGCCGATTTAATGTAAATAATACACCAACGCCCCTATATATTTTTCGAAATTCGGCATAACGTACTGAATTAAGTCTAGAATGATGTGTGTTAAATTTTGGGAAAATCGGCTCAGGGGGGTTACTCTGTATTGCGATGCGTGAGAAAAATTGTAACGCATCGCGTAATTGGTACTCTCTAATTCGTTTTCGTATCTCCTTTCGCATCTACTTTACGCAAATGTGGCATCACCGCACTCTGTAATACGAAAACGCATGTCAAACTCGTTCGTTAAGCGCAAATATCTTGCGTTAACAAAATAGCAAACGCAAAGGAAGCGAAACATATAAGTAAGCTCAATTAAAGGTTTTATTTATATATAAATTGTAAATTATTTTAAGTAAAAGGCAAAAAAGTCACAGTGGCAGACTCAGCAACGTCAGTTCCTAACTTCAGTAGATTTTATGGGGCAACACAGTGATTTAGCAAAGGGACAGTTGCAGAGTTCAAATTCGAAACAACGCGCCAACAATTTGTGGAAAAACTGTCTGATGGCATCAGTTCAAATTGACCTCCTGTAAAAGATGTCGATGGTTGGAAAAAGTAATGTATTATATTTTTATATAAGTTTTTGAGTAGTTGAATACTGAAGATAAATTTCTGTAATTACTTAATATTTTACTTTAATGTTTTTGTAAATCCATTCAGAGTAGTTCTTATTCAAATGATTTTTTTCTATTACTTTTAATGAATATTTATGGAGCTTGAACAAATGTAACATGAAAAGAAATACTAGTGTTTAAAATTTATATTTTTAATTTGGTCTAAGTTTATTTTGTAGTATACTGGCCATATAAGGCTTTTTGGCTTGGCTTTGAAATGAATAAATAAATAATAATAATATAATATGTGAAACTATGTGTGCATATTTACAGATTGGTGTTGATAACCACCTTGTCCAAGCAATTTCAAAGCAGCGGCCTCTTTTATTGGAGTTGGAATTGTTGTGGATCTATTTGGAAAGACGAGCGTTTAATAAATACATAAACGAATCTTTATTGAGACGAACATTTTGTATAAATCTATAAAAATTAAATATTTGAAAACGTTTGTCACATAATTCGTACTTCTATTTTAATACCCGTGGTCACTTAGGGAGATTATATTTGATCGATCTCATAAAATTCTTTTTTTGTTTTTAATTCGTTCATATTTTTGTTTCAAAAAATACTCGTACCACACAAAAAATATGTTTTTATTTAAAATTTTTTGACGTTTCCTTTTGTCATTCTTCGTTGTTGTATACTTTGTGGCGACAGTGTTGCCATATTTTCGATTTAGTTTGCGAATGCGTTTGCGCGAGCGTTACAGAGTACCAAATTGTACTTTTAACGCATTTAGCTTTCGCATCGCACTTGCTTTCGCAACGCAATACAGAGTAACCCCCCAGATTTAGATATAGCTTCCATATACAGTATTTTTCGGTTAATTGCACATCAAAATTTGCACAAATTTTTGTTCAATTAACCGAGGAACCAATTATCCGAACCCGCTTACTATGAAATGAAATATTTTTGACCCATCATGAGGTTCAATTAAGCGTGGAAACCAATTAACCGTAGGTTCAATTAACCGAAAAATACTGTATATTTTTGTCAAATTTTATGTTAATGGTGCACCAAAGCCCCTATAATTTAATTCGATTTGCACGAAATTGGGAGTAGCGTATTGAATTGATTCTAGATGGATGCGTGTTAAGTTTCGTGAAAATCTATTTAGATATAGATATATCTCCCATACATATTTTCGTCTGATTTTACGTTTTACGTTCACCGAGGAGGTCAACTAAATGATCGACTCATGGTATAGCGTACAAAAAGTCTGAAGCGCCCGAACTTAACGTTTTTTACATTTTGTATTTTATATTTCAAACATTTGTGTAAATTTCATTTTATTAATTATTATATCTATTATCAATTTTACAGATTGAGCAAGAAGGATAGCACAATTATGAAATCCAAAATCAAACAACTAATACCAGATCAAGAAACCGGCCAAAATAGCATCGATAAAATGCGTGAAAGCATCTTTGAAAGTCTATGGGCTCAAAGTATGTATTACAGATATATATATATATATATATATATATATGTACAATTATTTAAATAAACGAAAATCGAATAAAATATAATTTTTAGGAAAATATACAAATGGAAATTCCGTGACCTATATTTTTTATGTCATGGTAACAGATGAGGAAGATTTCGCTGCTGCACCAAATTCTACAAAATATTCTTGTCATCCGGTTTTTCGTTGTAGAAAATGTGTTGGTAAGCAAAAACATTATTAGTGGGGAGGTGGCTATTCACTGTTCAAATTTAGGGTTCCGTCGCGGATTGGTTTGAAATTTTTACCATATTTAGCTTCTGATTACAACCATATATGTGTAAATATATGTAGCTTTATTGCGGAAGTCCATACTTTCGTAAAAATTTTTAAAACAATCTGCGACCGGGCCTTGATCTGCAATATTTTCATCTTAATTTTTGTTTATAATTTCAGACAATAATAATAGCAGTACATGTTGTATGGTGTATGTCGATGAAACAGGTCGTGTTTATCAAAATTGGCAGTCGTTTGTGGATGACAATGTATTGCCGGCCGGTACAATGATATCGCCACGCCGTGGTGTTTATAATTTCTATACAAATGGCAATGTTATTTTGGATGTTTATTCCACACCGAACGCTAGACCGGGAGCAAAAGTTATGAGTGCAGCACAAACTAGTACCGCTGTATTGGGTGTGGGTGCTGCCTGTGTGCCAATAGCTGCAGCACTTACTTTACCCGTTGCCGCTCCGGTAATGGCCGCAGCCGGAATAGTCGGTTTGGGTGTCGGTGCCTTTTCAACAGTAACATCAGCATTGAATTTGAATGATCGTCGCAAACACGAGCAATCCATAAGCATTACAGATAGTCAAGCAAGGGCCAGTTATTTGGGTATTGCTGGTGGTCTTCTTGGTATGGCAGCGGCTGGTGCTACACGATTTTTAAATCATATGGCTGCTGCAGGAAAAGCCACGGCGGTAAGTTGTAGATTATTATTTAATTTTTGACATTATTTTTCTATTTCAATCGAATGTTGTCCCCATATATTTTGTAGGGAATTGAAGTCATTGTTAACGGCATTAATATATCAACCATACTTGTTTCGGGAACTGGCATCGCCAATGGTGTTTTGGATATAATATTTGTAAGATGATTTTGATTGCATATAAAAAGTTGTACATATTTATACTTACATGTATGTATTAATTCTTAACAGAAATACAAAGATGATGATACAATTTCGACATTGGATGTACTGCAATTGTCGGCTTCCTTGGTGTTGTTTACACATTCAGTCTATAACTTCCAGTTGGCATCACAAATTGCGAATGAGGCACGCACAAATTCAATTAAAAGTTACCGTGAAGCTTTAAGTAATCGTCAGAGGTGAGTAATAAACAAAGTTAGCCATCGAGCTAGGTTAGGGATGTACGGTTGTTGTAACAACCGTCCACTCGGAATCTATGTCCATTGTGATCATCCTTTATGTATAAGTATACCTATAAAGAAAAGAAAAAAGATAGTGGAAGAGTAGAGAGAAAAATAGTGAGAAAAAGGGGCGGAAGAGAGATTATTTTAGCCAAGTAAATTTTTTGACAAAGCCTAGAATTTGGTTAGGGTCTATTTTGGAGAAGAAGACTAGATTATCAATTTCATAACATCCAAACTGTTTATGTCTTCTGCTGATCAGCGATGGACATTTGCAGAGGATGTGCTCACTTGTTTCCAGTTCTTCTTCGTCCTCACATAGACGACAGTAATCCTCTCCACTGGAGTCCCACTTAGAAGTGAGAGATCTAACTTTGCAGTGACCAGCAATAATCCCCACAACGATTTTGATCTCCCTCTTGCTGTGGTCCGGAAGCGAAGACGTTCTTTTACGAGAGAATTCTGGCCAGATAGATTTAGAGATTCTGCAAGCAGGTTCCCTTAGCCATCACCTCGCAATGGAACGCACGGATTCTGCCAATGAAATAGCTAATGAGGGGTTTCACAGATCTCTCAATCAGAAGACTGGTCGACTGTGACCCACCTCGAGCAAGCTCGTCGTGCCCTTCAGTGTCGTTATGTCCTGGAACCCAGCATAGCCCAACTATTTATCGTATATCATTTAGAGCGGTCTTACAATCATGAACTGTTTATAGTATGCGACTTCACCGCTTTCACGGCCGCCTGACTATCTACATAAATAGTCACCGGTCCCGTAATGTCGGCATTTATTTATTTATTTTATTTATTTATTTATTCAGTAATAAGGAAGCCTTCACGGCCAATATTATATTACAAGTTCAATATATGCCTAAGAATAATTCAATATTAATAATAAATTCAAAATTTATTATTTACATATTTATAATGAACCAAATACTCACTTTAAGTGCTTTTACTATCTCGGCCGCTTTCGTGATTGCGAGAATCTCTGCTTGAAAAACGCTATAGTCATTGTTGAGTTTATATGAGTTCTGTATACCTAATTCCCTACAGTAGACGCCTGCGCCAGTGCCTTCCACCATCTTGGACCCGTCTGTGAAGATTGACAGACCTGGCAGAGGTAGGGAGCCACTAGTCCAGGATTCCCTACTAGGAAATTCAACTTTGATCCCTATGGGGAGGAATATAATCACTGATATGACTATCCCCCTAAAAAGGTCATAACCTGGCGTTATGTTTAGGATGCTGGCATGACCATAGTTCAGCGATTTCAAGGCATCTGTTTCCCGGAGTATCAGGGCACACCTGGCCGCCTGGAATTTGATCAGAATATCCAATGGTTGGAGATTCAAGATTGCATTCAAGGCTGCCTGTGGTGTACTTCTTAATGCTCCGGTGATCAGAATTGAAGCCGATCGCTGTAATAAGCTCAGTTTTGTCAGCAGCTTCTTTTTGTTCACCCCCTGCCACCAGACAAGGCAACCATATGTAAGTATGAGTAAGACAATCGTCGTATACAGCCAGTGTATAATTCCGGGTCTCAATCCCCAACCTATGGAGTTCTTGCATGAATAGAGTGCCAGCAATCCACAGTAACTTGCGGTCTAGGATAGTGCCAAGATATTTAGCTTCATCAGAAAGGGTTAAAGTCACTCCACCAAGTGATGGCAGACGGAAACTAGGAATTTTGTGCTTCCTAGTGAAGAGCACCAGTTCGGTTTTATTGGGGTTTACACCAAGACCTTTGGTGCAAGCCCAGTTAGATAGGGTTGAAAGGGCACCCTCCAGGATGTCTGATATTGTCATTATAAACTTACCCCCAACCAGCAAGACTACATCATCAGCATAGGCTACAACCTTTATCCTGAGATGATTGAATATCATAAGTATCTCATTTATCACCAGAATCCACAAAATGGGGAAAGTACTCCTCCCTGAGGTGTGCCTCTGTTGACAGATTTCCTCACGGAACTCTCTCCTAAGGATGAGTTGATAATTCTGCTTTCCAGCATTCTATCAATCCTTTCCGTAAGGAGTGAGGGGATACCTATGCCTACGAGAGCAGAATGGATTCACATTGTTGAAAGCTCCTTCGATATCGAGGAATGCTGCCAACGTGTAGCCAGAGGACTTCATATTCTTCTCGATGCATCCAACCACCTCATACAGGGCTGTAACCACTGATCTGCCTTTGATGTAGGCATGCTGGGATTTACTAAGTTTACTACGGTCAATGGTATTTCTAATTTCTGAGTCTAGTAACCTTTCTAAAGTTTTTAGTAGAAAAGAAGAAAGGCTAATCGGTCTATAGTTATCGAGCTAACGCAACATCGGGTTAATCAAGTACATACTGTGGAAATATATATATATATATATACATATATATATATATATATATATGCAAACTATGCCAAACTACATAAAGCCGGCCAATTTGAAATAATAATTAAAAAACACAATAATTTTCTCCTTCTAGGCGTATTTTTGATAAAATGTCCAAAGAAACAATACGTATTCGCGGTGATACCCAAGGAAAAATTGATATAATACGAAATATTAATAAAATACCAGATCGTCAATACCTGAATGATCTATTCAAAGTGAATAAGCGACTAAACGAAGCGAAAGTACGTCCGGCATTTGGGAAATCCGGTGAAGGGGTTGTGTTAAATAATGAAATGCCAGTTGAAACAGCATTTCTAAGACAAAATGTTAATATATTGGAACAAGTATCACAACCAATACCAGCAGGACATTTGGATAATAACGTTGCGACGAACCAAGCAACTGCTGCACGGCTTTTCCTTAATTCCGGTTCCGGTCAAAATACCGCACTCAATTTGGAAGATACTCTAAATGACAATGGTGGTTCTTCTCGTAGAACAGTGGAAATACTTGAAGGTTTAGGTGTGATGTTACCAAGCGGCGCTATTATTGAGCTTATTCGATTTGGTGAAAAGTTTCTAACAAAAATTGCCGATGGTGAAAAATTTCAAGATGTCATCGAAACCATGGCTTCAAAACTTCCGGAGAAAGTAATCCTTTTTGTCCTGGACCTAACACAATATTTCATGGAAAATATATTGGATCAAATTGTTTATGTCTTACAGTTTTCCATATCTACAGAGTCGGTTTTATATCGTATTCTTAAGCATATACTAACCAGATTACAGCATTTTACCTACGAACAAATTTTGACAAAACGCCAGGAAATATTAAAATACCTGAAAGAATATTATTTGTCATTAAATTCCAATAATGTTGGTGCTAGAACTCGGTGCAGTAATTGCAATGGTTGGTATAATATATGTGAGTTGTAAAAAAACACCAATCGAATCTAACTAAATGTAATGAAATAACCATGACTTAACTTGGTGCCTTATGACCCCATACACCAGAAGGAATGCAGGACAGCCTTTGAAATAGTAAAAGTTTGTTTCTTTAAAAATAAAGTTTTGAAAACAACAATGGATAGTCGGGTGTACGGGCCACTTTTTTATGCACAAATTTTATACACAAATGGTAGAAATAGCAATTATATCAGATATAGATTTAGTGCAAATATCAGAGAAAGTATAGATGTATTTGTATAAGATATTATATATGTGAGTTGTAACTTAAAAACAAAAATATATATCCATGTCATAACTTGGTGCCTTACGACCCCATACACCACAAATTACATTTGTAAATTTTTGTTTCTTTAAGAATGGTTTTTAAGAAAGCGGTTCAAGAAAACGTATAGTATAGTGTGTGTGTAGGGCGCTTTATTTACGCACACAATTTACACACAAAATGTAGAAAATAGCAATCATATCGTATATAGAATAATACAATGTTTTGTTTTATTAATGTATTTATGCTACTAATAAAGAATATCGAAGATTAATAATAAATTGAAATTATTTACTTAAAAGGAACCCCCAGTAAGGTAATGACAAAAATCGGACGCTTTTAAAACATGAAATGCTCTTAAGTATTATAAAATAAATACACCTATAGACAAAAGTGTTATTTTGATATTCAAAGAAATAATGGTATTGACCTTAGGACCCACGTCCATACCTTTTGATCAAAATTTCTATCATTTAGGGCGAGATTGTTGAAGGACTATACTTGTTCCACTTTTGCAAAAAAAAAAAAAAAAAAAAAAATCCGGGTCCAAAAAAACTGTTTGACTGTATCTTTTGGTTTGAGATAACCAATTGGCAAATTATGACAGTCGATACTGAATGAGTTTTTATTCGATAACTAGCATATACCCGCTACTTCGTGACCGCAAAATAAATCAAGCACTATACAAAATTTGGTGTCATTTAGTTAAATTTCCAAATTTCAAATATAGCTTCACACAAATCCATATTAAGTACCAGTTAGTAAACATAAATATATAAATTGTCATAACTTCGTACATTAACATACGAATTTCCAACACTTCCCACATACCCCAATCTTAATTTCAAATTTCAGGATTCTATCGGTTCACCTAAATTCAATTTGTTTCAAATTTAGTGCCATTTAATACACATAGGTACAAATTTGCATTACTACCTACATCATGCAATCCAATGAAAATCTTATTACTCAATTTCAAGATTTCAGCTCTATCGGTTAACTTTTAATCCAAACTGCCAAATATAGTGCCATTTAGTACACATTAGTAGACATTTCCAAAACTTCCTACATACCCCATTCGAACCCCCCAACAGTGATCCTAACCACCATTTGGTAACATTTAGTAAACATTATTACGAATGTCCAAAACTTTCTACATAGCCCAATACTACACCCCGACAGTGATCCTAACTTCAAATTTCAAGATTCTAGCTCTATCGGTTTACTCAAATCCACATTTGGTACTATTTTGAAACTGTAACCCTAACTCCAAATTTCAGAATTCCAGCTGTATTGGTGCACCAAAAATTTAAATTGTACGAAATTTAGTACACATTTGTACGAATTTTTAAACCTTCCTACATACCCCAATCCTTCACCCCCACAATGATCCTAAATCCAAGTTTCAAGATACTAATTCTATCGGTTCGCCCACAATTCAAACTGTACAAAATTTAGTACAAAGTAATAAAAAATTTCAACACTTCCTACATACCCCGGTCCTACACCCCCACAGTGATGCTAAAGCTCCCTACATATCTCAATCTTAAACCTCAACTATGATCCTGACTCCAAATTTCATGATTCTAGCTCAATTGGTTCACCTAAAATTCAAATTGTACCAAATTTAGTACCATTTAGTACGAATTTCAAAAACTTCCAACTTAACCCAAACCAACACCCCCACAGTGCTCCAAAATCTAAATTTCAGGATTCCAACTCTAACGGTTCACCCACAATTCAAATTGTACCAAATTTAGTACACAGTGGTACGAATTTCCAAAACTTTCATACTTAACTCAAACCAACACCCCCACAGTGATCCTAAATCCAAGTTTCAGGATTCCAATTCCATCGGTTCACCCACAAATTAAATTGTACCAAATTTAGTACACATTAGTACAAATTTTTAGAACTCCCTACATATCTCAATCTTACACCTCAACAATGACCCTGTCTCCAAATTTTATGATTCTAGCTCAATTGGTTCACCTAAAATTCAAATTGCACCAAATTTAGTACCCATAAGTAATAATGTCTTAAACTGAGTCCTGACCCTAATCCTACACCCCTAAAATGATCCTAACTCCAAATTTCATTGTTTCAGCTTATAGTACGATTTAGTACTTTTCGTACACATAAGTAACAAATTTCCAAAACTACGTACATATCACAATCCTATACTCCGACGGTAATGTTACTTTCAATTTTCAGGATTCTAGCTCCATTTGTACCTCCAAATCAAATTTGTACCAAATATAGTACCATATAGTACATTTCGTACACATGAGTACACGTTTTCAAAACCATCTCCTTATATCGACCCTAATTCGCATTTCAAATTCAAAGTTTTTAGCTCTATCCGTTCACATGCTACAGAATTGTACCAAATTTAGTACATTTACGTACTTTTCGGATAGTTGTAGTTCGAATTTCCAAAAACCCTTTGGTACATCTATCCTACACTCCATCATCGACCACCAAACCAAATTTCACAGTTCTAGCTCCACCGGTTCGCCAAATACAAATGGCATCACATTTAGTACGTTTTAGTACTTTTCGTACCGTTCTAGTACGAATTTCCAAAAACCCAGCCTTATCTCTCTAGCTTCAGCCGTTTCGTCTGGGCGTTGATGAATCGTTAAATCAGTCAGTCAGTCAATCACTTTACTCTTTTATTAGTATAGATAAAGTTCGATAAGAGGTTCGTTCGTTTACTCAATAATTTAAATTTAATTTATTTCGCTTTTTTGCAACAAAGCCTAAATGACCATTGATAGTTACACAATACAACAATTATTTAAGCTCCTCTTACACCTACCATAAACATAAATAATAAAGCATAAAAATAATTTAAAATCTGCATATATAAATACTTAAACTACTCAAAACAATATATTAGAATAATTATAATAAAAAATATGACATTGCAAAATGATTTTCGTTTACCCAAAAGTCCAGTAAAAGAGAGTGAATTGAGAGAGCAGATTTGACAGTTGTGTTACTGAGTATTTGCAAATTCTTACCAGGAAAAATTTACTCAGTAAGAATTTTCTTCCACCGTCAGCTGATATTTAATCAGCTGTTTTGTTAACAAACAACAATATTGTTCTCAAGCAAATTTATTGTTTTGTGAATTTTTATATTTATTTTGTATCATTGAACATTCAAATGGGTAAAGAAAACGCTAGTATTCGTAATACACATCAATTTTCCGCTTGTTTTCCCCTTTTCTACCAAAAAATCTTGCTGCTTTTTTGTATGAGCCAAATTGTTTCTTGTTTTAATCACCTGTGGCTATACAACCTTTTTACGGGATGTCGTTCATTTACTTTTTTTTTGCAATTTTCTCTCTTGAAACCAAAAATTCTTATTTTACTCTCTGCAAATTCTTACTTAGTATATGTTACTGGGAAAGTATGGACTTACGATCGTACCTAATGTAACGAACCATCCGATCGGAATTGTTTCAGAAAATGTATACATTTGTTTTTGAGTAAAAACATCAAGAGAGAAAATTGCAAAAAGTAAACGAAAAACATCCAGTAAAAAGATTGTATCGACACAGCTGATTAAACAACAAACAACTTTGCGCAAACAATTTTTTATTTGTTTTTGAAAAATGGATAACAAACAAAATGGAAAGACATCAATTTGCATGAGAACAATTTTGTTTACAAAACATAACAAAACAGCTGTTTAAATATCAGCTGACGGTACAAGATAATTTTTACAGAGTAAATTTTTATTTGTAAGATTTTGCAAATACCCAATAAAAGTACATTTACATATGCGATTTTAAATCGACTCGTTTAACCACATTCAGAAATATGCCCTAATTGTTTACACATACCTTTAATCATGAAAATGAAAAGAAAAATTACAATAATGGAAATGTTTTTGCCATGCTGTGATCGTTTGGAAAATAAAAAAGCACCTAAAATCACAAAAAATCTATATATAATTTTTATTTTCCGTTGATCTTTCATTTTTGTATTTGGCAATCGTTAAATTTATAAACAAACAACATGTACAGTTGCAAATGTTGGTATATTGTGTGAGTGTTGTATTTTTTTGGTACAAGAACCGCGTTGCATTTCAATAGTATCATGTTTTCGACCATGATTTAAAATAAACCCTGCCGCACGATGATTTAAATTTGTATGATAAATCATGGTAAATTTAGCCTGATTAAAAGTACATTTACATATACGATTTTAAATCGACTCGATTAACGAAATCCAGAAATACACCCTAATTGTTTACACATACCCTTAATCATGATCTAAATGCCGATCAGCTGATGTTTGTTAGTATACATACAAAATTATAAATTTGCGCCAAAAATATTTGTTTGCAATTTGAAAAAGAATAGAAGAATTACCACAATGGAAATGTTTTTGCAATACTGTGATCGTTTGGAAAGTAAAAAAAAAACACCTAAAAACACAAAAATTCTATAATTAATTTTTATTTTCCTTTGATCTGTCATTTTTGTATTTGTCAGCCGTTAAATTTAAAAACAAACGGCATGTAAAAACAGTTGCAAATTTTGGTACATTGTGAGAGAGTTGTGTTTTTTCGTACCAATCCCGTGTTGCATCTCAGTAGTATCATGATTTCGATCATGATTTAAAATAAATCCTGCTGCACGATGATTTAAATTTGTGTGGTAAATCATGGTAAATTTAGCCTGATTAAGAAA